CACGGTGAGCCAGGGTGAGTTAGTCAGGGTGAGTTAGTCAGGGTGAGTTAGTCAGGGTCAGTTAGTCAGGGTGAGTTAGTCAGGGTGAGTTAGTCAGGGTGAGTTAGTCAGGGTGAGTGCGTCAGGGTCAGTGAGTCAGGGTGAGTTAATCAGGGTGAGTAAGTCATGGTCAGTTAGTCAGGGTGAGTTAGTCAGGGCGAGTTTATCAGGGTGAGTTAGTCAGGGTGAGTTAGTCAGTGTGAGTTAGTCACGGTGAGTTAGTCAAGGTGAGTTAGTCAGGGTGAGACACGGTGAGCCAGGTTGAGTTAGTCAGGGTGAGTTAGTCAAGGTATGTTAGTCAGGGTGAGTTAGTCAGGGTAGGTTAGTCAGGGTGAGTTAGTCAGGGTGAGTTAGTCACGGTGAGTTAGTCAGGGTGAGTGAGTCAGGGTCAGTTAGTCAGGGTGAGTTAGTCAGGGTGAGTTAGTCAGGGTGAGTGAGTCAGGGTGAGTTAGTCAGGGTGAGTTAGTCAGGGTGAGTTAGTCAGGGTGAGTTAGTCAAGGTGAGTTAGTCAGGGTGAGGCACGGTGAGCCAGGGTGAGTTAGTCAGGGTGAGTTAGTCAGGGTCAGTTAGACAGGGTGAGTTAGTCAGGGTGAGTTAGTCAGGGTGAGGTAGTCAGGGTGAGTGAGTCAGGGTCAGTTAGTCAGGGTGAGTTAATCAGGGTGAGTTAGTCAGGGTGAGTGAGTCAGGGTGAACTAGTCAGGGTGAGTTAGTCAGGGTGAGTTAGTCAGGGTGAGTTATTCAGGGTGAGTTAGTCAAGGTGAGTTAGTCAGGGTGAGGCACGGTGAGCCAGGGTGAGTTAGTCAGGGTGAGTTAGTCAAGGTAGGTTAGTCAGGGTGAGTGAGTCAGGGTGAGTGAGTCAGGGAGAGTGAGTCAGGGTGAGTGAGTCAGGGTGAGTTAGTCAGGGTGAGTGAGTCCGGGTGAGTGAGTTAGGGTGAGTTAGTCAGGGTGAGTTAGTCAGGGTGAGTTAGTCAGGGTGAGTTAGTCAGGGTGAGTGAGTCAGGGTGAGTTAGTCAGGATAAGTGAGTCAGGGTGAGTAAGTCAGGGTCAGTTAGTCAGGGTGAGTTAGTCAGGGTGAGTTTATCAGGGTGAGTTAGTCAGGGTGAGTTAGTCAGTGTGAGTTAGTCACAGTGAGTTAGTCAAGGTGAGTTAGTCAGGGTGAGGCACGGTGAGCCAGGGTGAGTTAGTCAGGGTGAGTTAGTCAAGGTAGGTTAGTCAGGGTGAGTTAGTCAGGGTAGGTTCGTCAGAGTGAGTTAGTCAGGGTGAGTTAGTCAGGGTGAGTTAGTCAGGGTGAGTTAGTCAGGGTGAGTTAGTCAGGGTGAGTGAGTCAGGGTGAGTGAGTCAGGGTGAGTTATTCAGGGTGAGTGAGTCAGGGTGAGTTAGTCAGGGTGAGACAGGGTGAGCCAGGGTGAGTTATTCAGGGTGAGTGAGTCAGGGTGAGTTAGTCAGGTTGAGTTAGTCAGGGTGAGTTAGTCAGGGAGAGTGAGTCAGGGTGAGTGAGTCAGGGTGAGTTAGTCAGGATAAGTGAGTCAGGGTGAGTAAGTCAGGGTCAGTTAGTCAGGGTGAGTTAGTCAGGGTGAGTTTATCAGGGTGAGTTAGTCAGGTTGAGTTAGTCAGTGTGAGTTAGTCACAGTGAGTTAGTCAAGGTGAGTTAGTCAGGGTGAGGCACGGTGAGCCAGGGTGAGTTAGTCAGGGTGAGTTAGTCAAGGTAGGTTAGTCAGGGTGAGTTAGTCAGGGTAGGTTCGTCAGAGTGAGTTAGTCAGGGTGAGTTAGTCAGGGTGAGTTAGTCAGGGTGAGTTAGTCAGGGTGAGTTAGTCAGGGTGAGTGAGTCAGGGTGAGTGAGTCAGGGTGAGTTATTCAGGGTGAGTGAGTCAGGGTGAGTTAGTCAGTGTGAGACAGGGTGAGACAGGGTGAGCCAGGGTGAGTTATTCAGGGTGAGTGAGTCAGGGTGAGTTAGTCAGGTTGAGTTAGTCAGGGTGAGTTAGTCAGGGTGAGTGAGTCAGGGTGAGTGAGTCAGGGTGAGTTAGTCAGGGTGAGTGAGTCAGGGTGAGTGAGTCAGGGTGAGTTATTCAGGGTGAGTTAGTCAGGGTGAGTTAGTCAGGGTGAGTTAGTCAGGGTGAGTTAGTCAGGGTGAGTTATTCAGGGTGAGTTAGTCAAGGTGAGTTAGTCAGGGTGAGGCACGGTGAGCCAGGGTGAGTTAGTCAGGGTGAGTTAGTCAAGGTAGGTTAGTGAGGGTGAGTGAGTCAGGGTGAGTGAGTCAGGGAGAGTGAGTCAGGGTGAGTGAGTCAGGGTGAGTTAGTCAGGGTGAGTTAGTCAGGATAAGTGAGTCAGGGTGAGTAAGTCAGGGTCAGTTAGTCAGGGTGAGTTAGTCAGGGTGAGTTAGTCAGGTTGAGTTAGTCAGTGTGAGTTAGTCACAGTGAGTAGTCAAGGTGAGTTAGTCAGGGTGAGGCACGGTGAGCCAGGGTGAGTTAGTCAGGGTGAGTTAGTCAAGGTAGGTTATTCAGGGTGAGTTAGTCAGGGTAGGTTCGTCAGAGTGAGTTAGTCAGGGTGAGTTAGTCAGGGTGAGTTAGTCAGGGTGAGTGAGTCAGGGTCAGTAAGTCAGGGTGAGTTAGTCAGGGTGAGTTAGTCAGGGTGAGTGAGTCAGGGTGAGTTAGTCAGGGTGAGTTAGTCAGGGTGAGTTAGTCAGGGTGAGTTAGTCAGGGTGAGTGAGTCAGGGTGAGTTATTCAGGGTGAGTGAGTCAGGGTGAGTTAGTCAGGGTGAGACAGGGTGAGCCAGGGTGAGTTATTCAGGGTGAGAGAGTCAGGGTGAGTTAGTCAGGTTGAGTTAGTCAGGGTGAGTTAGTCAGGGTGAGTGAGTCAGGGTGAGTGAGTCAGGGTGAGTTAGTCAGGGTGAGTGAGTCAGGGTGAGTGAGTCAGGGTGAGTTATTCAGGGTGAGTTAGTCAGGGTGAGTTAGTCAGGTTGAGTTAGTCAGGGTGAGTTAGTCAGTGTGAGTTAGTCACAGTGAGTTAGTCAAGGTGAGTTAGTCAGGGTGAGGCACGGTGAGCCAGGGTGAGTTAGTCAGGGTGAGTTAGTCAAGGTAGGTTAGTCAGGGTGAGTTAGTCAGGGTAGGTTCGTCAGAGTGAGTTAGTCAGGGTGAGTTAGTCAGGGTGAGTTAGTCAGGGTGAGTTAGTCAGGGTGAGTTAGTCAGGGTGAGTGAGTCAGGGTGAGTGAGTCAGGGTGAGTTATTCAGGGTGAGTGAGTCAGGGTGAGTTAGTCAGGGTGAGACAGGGTGAGCCAGGGTGAGTTATTCAGGGTGAGTGAGTCAGGGTGAGTTAGTCAGGTTGAGTTAGTCAGGGTGAGTTAGTCAGGGTGAGTGAGTCAGGGTGAGTGAGTCAGGGTGAGTTAGTCAGGGTGAGTGAGTCAGGGTGAGTGAGTCAGGGTGAGTTATTCAGGGTGAGTTAGTCAGGGTGAGTTAGTCAGGGTGAGTTAGTCAGGGTGAGTTAGTCAGGGTGAGTTATTCAGGGTGAGTTAGTCAAGGTGAGTTAGTCAGGGTGAGGCACGGTGAGCCAGGGTGAGTTAGTCAGGGTGAGTTAGTCAAGGTAGGTTAGTGAGGGTGAGTGAGTCAGGGTGAGTGAGTCAGGGAGAGTGAGTCAGGGTGAGTTAGTCAGGGTGAGTTAGTCAGGATAAGTGAGTCAGGGTGAGTAAGTCAGGGTCAGTTAGTCAGGGTGAGTTAGTCAGGGTGAGTTAGTCAGGTTGAGTTAGTCAGTGTGAGTTAGTCACAGTGAGTTAGTAAAGGTGAGTTAGTCAGGGTGAGGCACGGTGAGCCAGGGTGAGTTAGTCAGGGTGAGTTAGTCAAGGTAGGTTATTCAGGGTGAGTTAGTCAGGGTAGGTTCGTCAGAGTGAGTTAGTCAGGGTGAGTTAGTCAGGGTGAGTTAGTCAGGGTGAGTGAGTCAGGGTCAGTTAGTCAGGGTGAGTTAATCAGGGTGAGTTAGTCAGGGTGAGTGAGTCAGGGTGAGTTAGTCAGGGTGAGTTAGTCAGGGTGAGTTAGTCAGGGTGAGTGAGTCAGGGTGAGTGAGTCAGGGTGAGTTATTCAGGGTGAGTGAGTCAGGGTGAGTTAGTCAGGGTGAGACAGGGTGAGCCAGGGTGAGTTATTCAGGGTGAGTGAGTCAGGGTGAGTTAGTCAGGTTGAGTTAGTCAGGGTGAGTTAGTCAGGGTGAGTGAGTCAGGGTGAGTGAGTCAGGGTGAGTTAGTCAGGGTGAGTGAGTCAGGGTGAGTGAGTCAGGGTGAGTTATTCAGGGTGAGTTAGTCAGGGTGAGTTAGTCAGGTTGAGTTAGTCAGGGTGAGTTAGTCAGGGTGAGGCACGGTGAGCCAGGGTGAGTTAGTCGTGATGAGTCATGGTGGCCCGTGGTGAGCCAGGATGAGCAAGTCAGGGTGAGTGAGTCAGGGTGAGTGAGTCAGGGTGAGTTAGTCAGGGTGAGTCAGGATGAGCCAGTCGGGGTAAGTCAGTCAGGGTGATTCAGTCGTGGTGAATCATGGTGATCCAGGGTGAGTGAGTGAATGAGTGTGAGTCGTGGTGAGCCAGGATGAGTGAGTGAGTGAGGGTGAGTCGTGGTGAGTCGTGGTGAGTGGTGGTGAGTGGTGGTGAGTCGTAGTGAGTGGTGGTGAGTCGTGGTGAGTGGTGGTGACCCACGCGTGCTGTGTGAGTGAGTGAGGGTGAGTCGTGGTGAGTCGTGGTGAGTGGTGGTGAGTGGTGGTGAGTCGTGGTGAGTGAGTTGTGGTGAGTGGTGGTGAGTGGTGGTGAGTGGTGGTGAGTGGTGGTGAGTCGTGGTGAGTGGTGGTGACCCACGCGTGCTGTGTGAGTTAGTGAGTGGTGGTGAGTGGTGGTGAGTGGTGAGTGAGTTGTGGTGAGTGGTGGTGAGTGGTGGTGAGTGGTGGTGAGTCGTGGTGAGTCGTGGTGAGTCACGTGTGCCGTGTGAGTCTGCACCTGGTGCTTGCGCTCGGCCTCCTGCTTAGCGCGCTTCACACTCATCTCCTTCCTCAGTCGCTCCTCCTCGGCCAGCCGCTGAGTCTCTGCCTCCACGCGTCGCTTGTACTGGCGCAGCACACTCACCACACTCACTCACCACACTCACTCACCACACTCACTCACCACACTCACTCACCACACTCACTCACCACACTCACCACACTCACTCACCACACTCACTCACCACACTCACTCACCACACTCACCACACTCACTCACCACACTCACTCACCACACTCACTCACCACACTCACTCACCACACTCACTCACCACACTCACCACACTCACTCACCACACTCACCACACTCACCACACTCACCACACTCACTCACCACACTCACTCACCACACTCACTCACCACACTCACCACACTCACTCACCACACTCACCACACTCACTCACCACACTCACTCACCACACTCACTCACCACACACACTCACCACACTCACCACACTCACTCACCACACTCACTCACCACACTCACTCATCAAACTCACTCACCACACTCACTCACCACACTCACCACACTCACTCATCACACTCACTCATCACACTCACCACACTCACTCATCACACTCACCACACTCACCACACTCACTCACCACACTCACTCACCACACTCACTCACCACACTCACTCACCACACTCACCATACTCACCACACTCACTCACCACACTCACTCACCACACTCACTCACCACACTCACTCACCACACTCACCACACTCACTCACCACACTCACTCACCACACTCACCACACTCACTCACCACACTCACTCACCACACTCACCACACTCACCACACTCACTCACCACACTCACTCACCACACTCACTCACCACACTCACCACACTCACTCATCACACTCACTCACCACACTCACTCACCACACTCACTCACCACACTCACCACACTCACTCACCACACTCACCACACTCACTCACCACACTCACTCACCACACTCACCACACTCACTCACCACACTCACTCACCACACTCACCACACTCACCACACTCACTCACCACACTCACTCACCACACTCACTCACCACACTCACCACACTCACTCATCACACTCACTCACCACACTCACTCACCACACTCACTCACCACACTCACCACACTCACTCACCACACTCACCACACTCACTCACCACACTCACTCACCACACTCACTCACCACACACACTCACCACACTCACCACACTCACTCACCACACTCACTCACCACACTCACTCATCAAACTCACTCACCACACTCACTCACCACACTCACCACACTCACTCATCACACTCACTCATCACACTCACCACACTCACTCATCACACTCACCACACTCACCACACTCACTCACCACACTCACTCACCACACTCACTCACCACACTCACCACACTCACTCACCACACTCACTCACCACACTCACCATACTCACCACACTCACTCACCACACTCACTCACCACACTCACTCACCACACTCACCACACTCACTCACCACACTCACTCACCACACTCACCACACTCACTCACCACACTCACTCACCACACTCACCACACTCACCACACTCACTCACCACACTCACTCACCACACTCACTCACCACACTCACCACACTCACTCATCACACTCACTCACCACACTCACTCACCACACTCACCACACTCACTCACCACACTCACTCACCACACTCACTCACCACACTCACTCACCACACTCACCACACTCACTCACCACACTCACTCACCACACTCACCACACTCACTCACCACACTCACTCACCACACTCACTCACCACACTCACCACACTCACTCACCACACTCACCACACTCACTCACCACACTCACTCACCACACTCACTCACCACACACACTCACCACACTCACCACACTCACTCACCACACTCACTCACCACACTCACCACACTCACTCACCACACTCACTCATCACACTCACTCACCACACTCACTCACCACACTCACCACACTCACTCATCACACTCACCACACTCACTCATCACACTCACCACACTCACCACACTCACTCACCACACTCACCACACTCACTCACCACACTCACCACACTCACTCACCACACTCACCACACTCACTCACCACACTCACTCACCACACTCACTCACCACACTCACTCACCACACTCACTCACCACACTCACCACACTCACTCACCACACTCACCACACTCACTCACCACACTCACTCACCACACTCACTCACCACACTCACTCACCACACTCAACACACTCACTCACCATACTCACTCACCACACTCACTCACCACACTCACTCACCACACTCACTCACCACACTCACTCACCGCACTCACTCACCACACTCACTCACCACACTCACTCACCATACTCACCACACTCACTCACCACACTCACCACACTCACTCACCACACTCACTCACCACACTCACCACACTCACTCACCACACTCACCACACTCACTCACCACACTCACTCACCACACACACTCACCACACACACTCACCACACTCACCACACTCACTCACCACACTCACCACACTCACTCACCACACTCACTCACCACACTCACTCACCACACTCACCACACTCACTCACCACACTCACTCACCACACTCACCACACACACTCACCACACTCACCACACACACTCACCACACTCACTCACCACACTCACCACACTCACTCACCACACTCACCACACTCACTCACCACACTCACTCACCACACTCACTCACCACACTCACTCACCACACTCACTCACCACACTCACTCACCACACTCACCACACTCACCACACTCACTCACCACACTCACCACACTCACTCACCACACTCACCACACTCACCACACTCACTCACCACACTCACCACACTCACTCACCACACTCACTCACCACACTCACCACACTCACCGCACTCACTCACCACACTCACTCACCACACTCACTCACCACACTCACTCACCATACTCACTCACCACACTCACCACACTCACTCACCACACTCACTCACCACACTCACTCACCACACTCACTCACCACACTCACCACACTCACCCACCACACTCACCACACTCACCACACTCACTCGCCACACGCACCACACTCACCACACTCACCACACTCACTCACCACACTCACTCACCACACTCACCACACTCACTCACCACACTCACTCACCACACTCACCACACTCACTCACCACACTCACTCACCACACTCACTCACTCACCACACTCACTCACCACACTCACCACACTCACTCACCACACTCACCACACTCACTCACCACACTCACCACACTCACCACACTCACTCACTCACCACACTCACCACACTCACTCACCACACTCACTCACCACACTCACCACACTCACTCACCACACTCACTCACCACACTCACCACACTCACTCACCACACTCACTCACCACACTCACCACACTCACCACACTCACTCACCACACTCACCACACTCACTCACCACACTCACTCACTTACCACACTCACTCACCACACTCACTCACCACACTCACTCACCACACTCACTCACCACACTCACTCACCACACTCACTCACCACACTCACCACACTCACTCACCACACTCACTCACCACACTCACCACACTCACTCACCACACTCACTCACTCACCAAACTCACCACACTCACTCACCACACTCACCACACTCACCACACTCACTCACCACACTCACTCACCACACTCACTCACTCACCACACTCACTCACTCACCACACTCACCACACTCACTCACCACACTCACTCACCACACTCACCACACTCACCACACTCACCACTCACCACACTCACTCACCACACTCACTCACCACACTCACTCACCACACTCACCACACTCACTCACCACACTCACTCACCACACTCACTCACCACACTCACTCACCACGCTCACCACGCTCACTCACCACACTCAACGCGCTCACTCACCATTCTCACCACACTCACTCACCACACTCACTCACCACACTCACCACACTCACCACACTCACCACACTCACTCACCACACTCACTCACCACCCTCACCACACTCTCCCATGCGTCTCTCTCATGCGTCTCTCTTGTACGTGTCTCCCGCGCGTGTCTCTGCGTGTGTCCCGTGCATGCGTGTCTCCCACGCGTGTCTCTGCATCTCTTCCACACGTGTCTCCTCACGTGCGTGTGTCCCATGCGTGTCTCTGCGCGTCTGCTGCACGTGCCTCTGGATGTCTCACTACGTGCGTGTCTCTGCGTGTCTCCCTACGTGCGTGTCTCTGCGCGTCACACGTGCGTGTCTCCCTACGTGCGTGTTTCTGCGTGTGCCCAGTGCGTGTCTCTGTGTGTCACACGTGCGTGGGTGTCTCCCGCGCGTGTCTCCCGCGCGTGTCTCTGCGTGTTACACGTGCGTGCCTCTGCGTGTCTCCCGCGTGTGTCTCTGCGTGTGTCCCGCGCGTGTCTCTGCGTGTCACACGTGCGTGTCTCTGCGTGTCTCCTCCCGCGCGTCTCTCTGCGTGTCTCTGCGTGTCTCCTCCCGCGTGTGTCTCCTCCCGCGCGTGTCTCTGCGTGTCTCTGCGTGTCTCTGCGTGTCTCCTCCCGCGCGTCTCTCTGCGTCTCTCTGCGTGTCTCTGCGTGTCTCCGCGTGTCTCTCCGCGTGTCTCCGCGTGCCACGCGTGCGACCGCGCACCTCGGCGCGGAGGCGCAGGTAGAGGCGCCGCGCGACCAAGCGCCGCGTGTGGGCCTGCAGCGTGATGACGGCCCACAGGCGGTGGCGGAACGCTCGGCGCACCAGGAAGCCGCGGCAGCGCGCCTGCAGCGCCGTGACTCGCGCCCGCGCCGCGCCGTAGCGCCGCGCCAGCCGCCGGGCGTGGAACAGCGCCTGCAGGCGCCCCAAGCCCTGCACCAGCTGGCGGAGGGGCAAGCACAACGGGGCCCCGTGAGGGCCGCGTCAGCTCGAAACCCGCGGGCCTTGTGTTTCCCACGAGACCTGCCCACAGATGCATCGCTCCGGACAAGTGGACCGCCACGGTGTGGGGATTCACCCTGAAAACACGTGACGCCGGTTCTAAGTGTGGAGGGTGGGGGGGGGAACGAGGACCCACGTGACCACCACGGGGAGAGAGAGAGACACACAAACTCCAAATATACAGCAGCAGCAGCAGGCGTCAGGGTCGGGATCGAACCCACGACCTCCTGTGTACCAGGCGAGGGAGTTAACATCTCCCAGCCACCGTGATGATGATGAGAGATGCAGACTCCAAATATACAGCAGCAGCAGCAGACGTCAGGGTGGGGATCGAACCCACGACCTCCTGCACACCAGGCGAGGTAGTCAACATCTCCCAGCCACCGTGGAGTCGTCAGAGGCGGACGCCCTTGGCAGGGGCCTCCTCCCTGTCAGGGCCCCACTCCGCTCGGCGCTCCGACGGGAGGCTCGCCGCCGTACCAGGCGCTATAGGCTCGCCACTCGCTGCCTCGCAGCAACAAGGACCTGGGTTCGACTCCCGACTGTAGGGCCGCTCGCTCCGCGGAGTGCGTGTTGTGTGGTTCTGCCCGGGCTCTACGAGTGTCTGTATTGGCGTGGCGAGTGAGGTGAGCGGAGACGTCACTCACTTGTGATCAAAGACAAGGATCCCCCCGCGTAGCCTGCAACAGACTGTTGGGGCAAGTGCTGTTAGGGGGTGGGTGGCCAGCAGTACACGGCACACCAGCTATTAATTTTGACGCCGAGTCGACCTAGAAGAGGCCCAGCACCGGTTCAGATGTAATCATCGCCGTTGTGTTGGTGGCCGTGAGCGGGAATCGCACTCGGGTCACAGCCGGCTTCGGAGCACAGCGTAGCGCTCACCGCTGCACCACCGCTACTCGCTCACCGCTGCACCACCGCTACTCACTCACCGCTACTCACTCACCGCTGCACCACCGCTACTCGCTCACCGCTGCACCACCACTACTCGCTCACCGCTGCACCACCGCTACTCACTCACCGCTGCACCACCACTACTCGCTCACCGCTGCACCACCACTACTCGCTCACCGCTGCACCACCGCTACTCACTCACCGCTGCACCACCGCTACTCGCTCACCGCTGCACCACCACTACTCGCTCACCGCTGCACCACCACTACTCACTCACCGCTGCACCACCGCTACTCGCTCGCCGCTGCACCACCGCTACTCACTCACCGCTGCACCACCGCTACTCGCTCACCGCTGCACCACCGCTACTCACTCACCGCTGCACCACCGCTACTCACTCACCGCTGCACCACCGCTACTCGCTCACCGCTGCACCACCGCTACTCGCTCACCGCTGCACCACCGCTACTCGCTCGCCGCTGCACCACCGCTACTCGCTCACCGCTGCACCACCGCTACTCACTCACCGCTGTACCACCGCTACTCGCTCACCGCTGCACCACCGCTCGTGATAACGTGCACACGGCGGCAGCGGCAACATCAGCGCCCCCCTGCCGGGATTCGTACCGCCACGTAGCTCCTGCGACACTGGTATCCACGCCATGCCGTCTGGATCACGATGCTCGCACGGCGCATCTTCAGGTACGACGTTCTGTGAGGCGTGGGTGAGACACGGGTGAGACACGGGTGAGACACGGGTGAGACACGGGAGAGACACGGGTGAGACACGCGGGTGAGACACGGGTGAGACACGGGTGAGACGCGGGTGAGACGCGGGTGAGACACGGGTGAGACACGGGTGAGACACGTTAAAGAGGGTGGTGAGACACGCGGGTGAGACACAGGTGAGACAGGGTGAGACACAGGTGAGACAGGGTGAGACACGGGAGAGACACGGGTGAGACGCGGGTGAGACAGGGTGAGACACGGGTGAGACACGCGGGTGAGACAGGGTGAGACACGGGTGAGACACGCGGGTGAGACAGGGTGAGACACGGGTGAGACACGGGTGAGACACGGGTGAGACACGCGGGTGAGACACGGGTGAGACGTGGGTGAGACACGGGTGAGACACGCGGGTGAGACACGGGTGAGACACGGGTGAGACACGCGGGTGAGACACGGGTGAGACAGGGTGAGACACGGGAGAGACACGGGTGAGACACGCGGGTGAGACACGGGTGAGACAGGGTGAGACACGAGAGAGACACGGGTGAGACACGCGGGTGAGACACGGGTGAGACACGGGTGAGACGCGGGTGAGACAAGGTTAGACACGGGTGAGACACGGGTGAGACAGGGTGAGACACGCGGGTGAGACACGGGTGAGACATGGGTGAGACACGGGTGAGACACGGGTGAGACACGTTAAAGAGGGTGGTGAGACACGGGTGGATCATGGCTGAGAGAGATGCGGGAAAGACGCAGTGACAAGTGACATACAGGCGTGGGCGTGCATCTCGGTGAGCACGTATGGGTCTCATGGGTGCGTGTGTTTGCGTATGTACGTGCATACATGTTTACGTGCGTGCGTGCGTGTGTGCGTGTATGCGTGTGTGCGTGCGTGTATTTGCGTGTGCCAGTATGTGTGTATATCCATGTGTGTGTGTGCTTGTGTGTGTGCACAGCAGGTTGGCACAGTAGGGGGCACAAGTGGTGCATCAGGTAGTCATCTCAGTCAGTCGACCCGTGGCACTTGGGTCTGCCCCGTGACCTCCTGCCAGCGGGTGTTCGACAATTCACGTGGCCTCAAGGTGCACATAGCCTGGCACAAGCGTCGTGGTGGCGTCACCGCCACTTAGTGGCGAATAGCGGTTGTTGTAAGTGTGTTGGTGTGTGTGTGTGTGTGTCAGTGTGTGTCAGTGTGTCCGTGTTTGTGTATGTGCGTGTTTTCTGTGTGCGTGTTTTATTTGTGCGTATTTGTGTGTGCGTGTGTGTACGTGTGTGTCAGTGTGTACATGTGTGCGTGTTTGTGTGTACTTGTGTGTGCTTGTGTGTGTGTCAGTGTGTGTGTGTGTCAGTGTGTACGTGTGTCTACGTGTTTGTGTGTACGTGTGTGTATGTGTGTGCTTGTGTGTGTGTGTGTCAGTGTGTTTGTGTGTGTGTCAGTGTGTGTGTGTCAGTGTGTACGTGTTTGTGTGTGTGTGTGCGTGTGTGTGTATGCGTGTGTGTGGAGAGAGTGGAGAGTTTCCCATAACTGGGCAGTGTGCTTATGACCGGCTCCAGTTTAACAGCAGAGGTCTCACTCCGAATCAGTCGAGCGGCAATATCTTTTCATCGGTTGTGTAACGCTGTGTGGAAGCTACCTGGTCTGTCGCTCCGCACTAAGCTTCAGGTCTTCTCGGCCACGGTCATTCCCTCCCTTCTCTACGCTTGCGAAACGTGGACCCCCCTAATGGAACATCTTCGCCGGTTAGAAACATTTAGGCTGGCCTGCCTACGATCCATCCTGGGTTTAACCAGACTGGATTGTGTGAGGAGCTCACAAATCCTTGAAAGATCTGGGCAAGGTCCCATCAGTGAGCTCCTCCGGCGGGCAAGGCTGCGATGGCTGGGTCATGTAGCCTGCATGCCCAGCCACCGCATGCCGAAACAGTTTTTGTTCGGCCGGATTGAGGGGGCTAAGCGGGCGCGGCACGGGCTAGAGAAGAGATGGAGTGATGAGGTACAGGAGGACGTGGAGCTGAGTGGACTTGCCGATGACTGGTACCAGCGGTGTCAAGATCGGCCTCTGTGGAGGAGGCTCGTGAAGGACGCTACTGGGCAGTTAGAGGTAGTCGCCCTCCAACAACAACGGAGGGCGGAGGAGCGACGCCCACAACAACGAGCGGAGCGCCGGGTGGCTAAAGCACAGCAGGTTGGCACAGTAGGGGGCATAGGTGGTGCATCAGCCAGTCATCTCAGTCAGTCGACCCGTGGCACCTGGGTCTGCCCCGTGACCTCCTGCCAGCGGGCGTTCGACACTTTACGTGGCCTCAGGGTGCACATAGCCTGGCACAAGCGTCGTGGTGACGTCACCGCCACTTAGTGGCGAATGGCGGTTGTTGTTGTTGTTGTTGTGTACGTGTGTGTCAGTGTGTGTGTGTGCGTGTGTGTCAGTGCGTGTGTGAAGTGTGTGTCAGTGTGTGTGCGTGTGTGTGAAGTGTGTGTCAGTGCGTGTGCGTGTGTGTTAAGTGTGTGTCAGTGCGTGTGTGTCAGTGTGTGTGTGTGCGTGTGTGTCAGTGCGTGTGTCAGTGCGTGTCAGTGCGTGTGTCAGTGCGTGTCAGTGTGTGTGTCAGTGCGTGTATGTGTTTGCGTGTGTGTCAGTGCGTGTGTGTGTGTGCGTGTGTGTCTGTGTGTGTGTGTGCTGCACCTCTCCTTGAATCCGCGCACCACCTTCTGGATGAGGATGACGCGGTCGGTGATGGCTTTGTCTCGCTCGATCTCCAGCAGCATGTCATGGTGGTCCTGGTTGGAGCACAGTGTGGTGTCAGTGTGGTGTCAGTGTGGTGTCAGTGTGGTGTCAGTGTGGTGTTAGTGTGGTGTCAGTGTCAGTGTGGTGTCAGTGTGGTGTCAGTGTGGTGTCAGTGTCAGTGTGGTGTCAGTGTGGTGTCAGTGTGGTGTCAGTGTGGTGCCAGTGTGGTGCCAGTGTGGTGTCAGTGTGGTGTCAGTGTCAGTGTGGCGTCAGTGTGATGTCAGTGTGGTGTCAGTGTGGTGGCAGTGTGGTGTCAGTGTGGTGCCAGTGTGGTGGCAGTGTGGTGTCAGTGTGGTGCCAGTGTGGTGCCAGTGTGGTGTTAGTGTGGTGTCAGTGCGGTGTCAGTGTGGTGTCAGTGTCAGTGTGGTGTCAGTGTCAGTGTGGTGTCAGTGTGATGTCAGTGTGGTGTCAGTGTGGTGGCAGTGTGGTGTCAGTGTGGTGCCAGTGTGGTGGCAGTGTGGTGTCAGTGTGGTGCCAGTGTGGTGCCAGTGTGGTGTTAGTGTGGTGTCAGTGCGATGTCAGTGTGGTGTCAGTGTGGTGTCAGTGTGGTGTCAGTGTGGTGTTAGTGTGGTGTCAGTGTGGTGTCAGTGCGGTGTCAGTGTGGTGTTAGTGTGGTGTCAGTGTGGTGTCAGTGTGGTGTCAGTGTGGTGTCAGTGTGGTGTTAGTGTGGTGTCAGTGTGGTGTTAGTGTGGTGTCAGTGTGATGTCAGTGTGGTGTCAGTGTGGTGTGAATGTGGTGTCAGTGCGGTGTCAGTGTCAGTGTGGTGTCAGTGTGATGTCAGTGTGATGTCAGTGTCAGTGTGGTGTCAGTGTGGTGTCAGTGTGATGTCAGTGTGATGTCAGTGTGGTGTCATTGTCAGTGTGGTGTCAGTGTGGTGTCAGTGTGGTGTGGTGTCAGTGTGATGTCAGTGTGGTGTCAGTGTGATGTCAGTGTGGTGTCAGTGTGGTGTTAGTGTGGTGTCAGTGTGGTGTTAGTGTGGTGTCAGTGTGATGTCAGTGTGGTGTCAGTGTGATGTCAGTGTGGTGTCAGTGTGGTGTCAGTGTGGTGTCAGTGTGGTGTCAGTGTGGTGTTAGTGTGGTGTCAGTGTGGTGTTAGTGTGGTGTCAGTGTGATGTCAATGTTGTGTCAGTATGACGTCAGTGCGGTGTCAGTGCGGTGTCAGTATGGTGTCAATGTTGTGTCAGTATGACGTCAGTGTGGTGTCAGTGTGGTGTCAGTGTGGTGTTAGTGTGGTGTCAGTGTGGTGTCAGTGCGGTGTCAGTGTGGTGTTAGTGTGGTGTCAGTGTGGTGTCAGTGTGGTGTTAGTGTGGTGTCAGTGTGGTGTTAGTGTGGTGTCAGTGTGGTGTTAGTGTGGTGTCAGTGTGATGTCAGTGTGGTGTCAGTGTGGTGTGAATGTGGTGTCAGTGCGGTGTCAGTGTCAGTGTGGTGTCAGTGTGATGTCAGTGTGATGTCAGTGTCAGTGTGGTGTCAGTGTGGTGTCAGTGTGATGTCAGTGTGATGTCAGTGTGGTGTCATTGTCAGTGTGGTGTCAGTGTGGTGTCAGTGTGGTGTGGTGTCAGTGTGATGTCAGTGTGGTGTCAGTGTGATGTCAGTGTGGTGTCAGTGTGGTGTTAGTGTGGTGTCAGTGTGGTGTTAGTGTGGTGTCAGTGTGATGTCAGTGTGGTGTCAGTGTGATGTCAGTGTGGTGTCAGTGTGGTGTTAGTGTGGTGTCAGTGTGGTGTCAGTGTGGTGTTAGTGTGGTGTCAGTGTGGTGTTAGTGTGGTGTCAGTGTGATGTCAATGTTGTGTCAGTATGACGTCAGTGCGGTGTCAGTGCGGTGTCAGTATGGTGTCAATGTTGTGTCAGTATGACGTCAGTGTGGTGTCAGTGTGGTGTCAGTGTGGTGTTAGTGTGATGTCAGTGTGGTGTCAGTGTGATGTCAGTATGATGTCAGTGTGACGTCAGTGTGACGTCAGTGCGGTGCCAGTGCGGTGTCCCGCCCGCACCTTGAGGAAGATCTTGGTTTTGCCGATCTGCCAGTCGTCCTCCCGCGCCAGCACGGCCCCCGCTATCCTCTGGCAGGTGCCTCGCAGATCCTCCTGCAGCAGTAGGGGGGGGGGGGCATGGGGGGTCGAGGGGTGGGGGGCGGGACACACAGAGGTGGACACACACACGCAGAGAGGTGGACACACACACACACAGAGGTGGACACACACACAGAGGTGGACACACACACAGAGGTGGACACACGCACACAGAGAGGTGGACAGACACACACACACAGAGGTGGACACACACACAGAGGTGGACACACGCACACACACACACAGAGAGGTGGACACACGCACACAGAGAGGTGGACACACGCACACACACGCAGAGAGGTGGACACACACACACAGAGAGGTGGACACACGCACACACACAGAGGTGGACACACACACACAGAGAGGTGGACACACGCACACACAGAGAGGTGGACACACACACACAGAGGTGGACACACACACAGAGAGGTGGACACACGCACACAGAGAGGTGGACACACACACACAGAGGTGGACACACGCACACAGAGAGGTGGACACACGCACACACACACAGAGAGGTGGACACACGCACGCAGAGAGGTGGACACACGCACACACACACAGAGAGGTGGACACACGCACACAGAGAGGTGGACACACGCACACACACACAGAGAGGTGGACACACGCACACAGAGAGGTGGACACACGCACACACACAGAGGTGGACAGAGAATAATGGTGAACACAGAGAGAAGGTGGACAAAGAGATGGTGGACACAGACAGAGAGAGAAGGTGGACACATGCACACAGAGGTGGACACACACCCACGCACACAAACAGAGGTGGACACACGCGCGCACACAGACACACACACAGAGAAACACACAGAGACACACATACAGACCCACAGACAGACACACAGATTGACACACACAGATACATACACACAGATACACACACACACAGACACACATACAGACCCACAGACAGACACACAGATTGACGCACACAGATACACACAGATACACATACAGACAGACACACAGAGACACACATACAGACCCACAGACAGACGGACACACAGATTGACACACACAGACACACAGATACACACACAGGCAGACACACAGAGACACACATACAGACCCACAGACAGACAGACACACAGACACACAGATAGACACACACAGACAGACACACAGAGACACACATACAGACCCACAGACAGACAGACACACAGATTGACACACACACACAGACACAAACACACACAGACAGACACACAGATACACACACACAGACCCACAGACAGACAGACACACAGATTGACACACACACAGACACACAGATACACACACACAGATACACACACACAGACCTACAGACAGACAGACACACAGATACACACACACACACAGACACACAGATACACACACACACAGACACACAGATACACACACACACACATACACACACACACAGATACACACACACACACAGATACACACACACACAGACACACAGATACACACACACAGACACACAGATACACACACACAGACACACAGATACACACACACACACATATACACACACACACAGATACACACGCAGATACACACAGACACACAGATACACACACACAGACACACAGATACACACACACACAGATACACACACACAGATACACACAAATACACACACACACAGATACACACACATACACACACACACAGAACCACACACACACACAGACCCACAGATACACACACACACACAGACACACAGATACACACACAGAGACACAGATACACACACACACAGAGACACAGATACACACACACAGACACACAGATACACACACAGAGACACAGATACACACACACACAGACACAGATACACACACACAGACACACAGATACACACACACAGAGATACACACACAGATACACACACACACAGATACAACAACAACAACAACCGCCATTCTCCACTAAGTGGCGGTGACGTCACCACGACGCTTGTGCCAGGCTATGTGCACCCTGAGGCCACGTGAAGTGTCGAACGCCCGCTGGCAGGAGGTCACGGGACAGACCCAGGTGCCACGGGTCGACTGACTGAGATGACTGGCTGATGCACCACCTGTGCCCCCTACTGTGCCAACCTGCTGTGCTTTAGCCACCCAGCGCTCCGCTCGTTGTTGTGAGCGTCGCTCCTCCGCCCTCCGTTGTTGTTGGAGGGCGACTACCTCCAACTCCCCAGTAGCATCCTTCAAGAGCCTCCTCCACAGAGGCCGATCTTGACACCGCTGGTACCAGTCATCGGCAAGTCCACTCAGCTCCACGTCCTCCTGTACCACATCACTCCATCTCTTCTCTAGCCCGTGCCACGCCCGCTTTGCCGCCTCAATCCGGCCGAACAAAAGCTGTTTCGGCATGCGGTGGATTGGCATGTGGGCTACATGACCCAGCCAACGCAGCCTTGCCCGCCGGAGGAGCTCACCGATGGGACCTTGCCCAGATCTTTCAAGGATTTGTGAGCTCCTCACACAATCCAGTCTGGTTAAACCCAGGATGGATCGTAGGCAGGCCAGCCTAAATGTTTCTAACCGGCGAAGATGTTCCATTAGGGGGGTCCACGTTTCGCAAGCGTAGAGAAGGGAGGGAATGACCGTGGCCGAGAAGACCTGAAGCTTAGTGTGGAGCGATAGACCAGGTAGCTTCCACACAGCGTTACGCAACCGATGAAAAGATATTGCCGCTCGACTGATTCGGAGTGAGACCTCTGCTGTTAAACTGGAGCCAGTCATAAGCACACTGCCCAGGTATGGGAAACTCTCCACTCTCTCCACAACTGCCCCATCACCGATCGAGAGTTGTGGGGGTGGAGTGTCCGATGGTACAAAATACCCAGGCAGGTGCTTAGTTTTGGTGGGGCTGATGGTTTAGGCCCCACCTCTTAGTGGCACGCTCCAGTCTCAGCAGCAGCGTCTCCAACTCCTCCTCCGACTGAGCAGCTATTACCAAATCATCGGCATACATAACGTGGTTGAGCAATAGGGAGCCATCCCTTGACCGCACCCGGGCATCGATCAGCCTCCCATTATATCTGTACCATATGGAGATTCCCCCGGTACAGCTATTGAAGGCTTCACACAGATACACACACACAGACACACACACACACACCCACAGATACACACACACAGACACACAGATACACACAGACACACACAGACACACAGATACACACACAAAGACACACAGACACACAGATACACACACACACAAAGACCCACAGATACACACACAGGCACACAGACACACAGATACACACACACAGACACAGACACACAGACACACACAGATACACACACACAGACACACACACAGATACACACACACAGACACACACACACACAGACACACACACACAGATACACACACACACACCTGCTTGTAGGCGGGCTTGATGCCGGGCAGTAGCACGCGGTAACGCTCCACAAACTCGACGAAGGTGTAGCGGATGGGGTAGCCCGCACGGCGGATCCGGATCGTCTCCATCATCCCCGAGTAGCGCAGCTGGCGCACGCACAGCTCCCGGTCGAAGAGCTGCGCCCGGAGAGACACGTGCCGTGGCCGGGGGGAGAGACACGTGCGGTGGCCGGGGGAAGAGACACGTGCGGTGGCCGGGGGGAGAGACACGTGCCGTGGCCGGGGGGAGAGACACGTGCGGTGGCCGGGGGGAGAGACACGTGCGGTGGCCGGGGGGAGAGACACGTGCGGTGGCCAGGGGGAGAGACACGTGCGGTGGCCGGGGGGAGAGACACGTGCCGTGGCCGGGAGGAGAGACACGTGCCGTGGCCGGGGGGAGAGACACGTGCGGTGGCCGGGGGGAGAGACACGTGCGGTGGCCGGGGGGAGAGACACGTGCCGTGGCCGGGAGGAGAGACACGTGCGGTGGCCGGGGGGAGAGACACGTGCCGTGGCCGGGAGGAGAGACACGTGCGGTGGCCGGGGGGAGAGACACGTGCCGTGGCCGGGAGGAGAGACACGTGCGGTGGCCGGGGGGAGAGACACGTGCGGTGGCCGGGGGGAGAGACACGTGCGGTGGCCGGGGTGAGAGACACGGACGGCAGAGGGGTGAGAGGAGACACGGGGGTGGGGGGGGGGGAGGAGAGGCGCGAATCAGAGAGACACGGAGGAGAGACAGGGGAGAGACACCGGGGAGAGGTGAGAGAGACACCGGGGAGACACGCGGAGAGGAGAGACACGGAGGAGAGACAGGGGAGAGACACGGAGGAGAGACAGGGGAGAGACACGGAGGAGAGACAGGGGAGAGACAGGGGAGAGGCACGGAGGAGAGACAGGGGAGAGACACCGGGGAGAGGTGAGAGAGACACCGGGGAGACACGCGGAGAGGAGAGACACGGAGGAGAGACAGGGGAGAGACAGGGGAGAGACAGGGGAGAGACAGGGGAGAGACACGGAGGAGAGACGCGGAGGAGAGGTGAGACAGACACAAAGAGGTGAGAGAGACACGGAGAAGAGAGACGCGGAGGTGAGACAATGGGGAGAGACGCCAAGGAGAGACACGGAGCAGAGGGACACGGAGTGAGCGAGCGAGCGAGTGAGCGAGAGGGATAGCGGCGGGGAGTGGAGCGGGGAGAGGGTGCGGCAGGAAGTCCACGCCACAACCTCGCAGGGGACAGCGCGGGGATTGTGTCGTGCTCCTCCGGGATTGTGTCGCGCACGCACGTGTGTGAGTGTCGTGTGGATGTGTGTGATTCATATCTGTGCGTCATGTATGTGTGTCACGTGTGCGTGTCGTGTGTGTGGTATGTGTGTGATTGATGTGCGTGTGTCATGTGTGTGTGTGTGTGTCGTGTGTGTGTCGTGTGTTTGTCGTGCGTGTTGTGTGCGTGTCGTGTGCGTGTCGTGTGTGTTGTATGCGTGTCGTCTACGTGTATGTGTGCGTATGTGCATATGTGTATGTATACATGTGTGTGCATGTGTGTGTATGTGCGTGTGTTTATGTGTGTGTGTATGTGTGTGTATGGGCACGGTCCCATCGGTGAGCTCCTCCGGCGGGCAAGGCTGCGTTGGCTGGGTCATGTAGCCCGTATGCCCAGCCACCGCATGCTGAAACAGCTTTTGTTAGGCCGGATCGAGGGAGTTAAACGGGCGCGGCACGGGTTAGAGAAGAGATGGAGTGATGTGGTACAGGAGGATGTGGAGCTGAGTGGACTTGCCGATGACTGGTACCAGCGGTGTCAAGATCGGCCTCTGTGGAGGAGGCTCGTGAAGGACGCTACTGGGCAGTTGGGGGCAGTAGGCCTCCAACAACAACGGAGGGCGGAGGAGCGACGCTCACAACAACGAGCGGAGCGCCGAGTGGCTAAAGCACAGGTGGTGCATCAGCCAGTCATCTCAGTCAGTCGACCCGTGGCACCTGGATCTGCCCCGTGACCTCCTGCCAGCAGGCGTTCGACACTTCAAGTGGCCTCAAGGTGCACATAGCCTGGCACAAGCGTCGTGGTGACGTCACCCCTACTTAGTGGCGAATGGCGGTTGTTGTTGTTGTGTCAATGTATGTGCAACAACTACAGGGGCATCTCACGTATAAGTATGCCGGGAAAGGTCCTGCAAAGGATTATTCAACATCGCCTTGCCAGGCACACTGAGGAGAGGCTTGCGGAGCCCCAATGCGGTTTCAGGAATGGGCGGTCCTGCACAGATGCCATATTTTCTGTTCGTCTGCTACAGCAGAGTTGTAGGGAATTCCAGCAAGACCTACATCTCTGCTTTATTGACCTGGTCAAGGCCTATGATACCATCAGTAGGCCTGGGCTCTGGGTTGTTCTTCGTGCTTTTGGAGTACCTGACCCTCTGCTCATGATCATTAAGGACCTTCATGATGGCGAGTGGGCCCGGGTAAAACTACGTGGCCGGGAGTCAAAGCCATTCCCTGTACACCTTGGGGTGCGACAGGGATGTCCTTTGGCTCCCATATTATGTAACATCTATTTCGACCACGTTGTTCGTGAAGCCTTCAATAGCTGTACCGGGGGAATCTCCATATGGTACAGATATAATGGGAGGCTGATCGATGCCCGGGTGCGGTCAAGGGATGGCTCCCTATTGCTCAACCACGTTATGTATGCCGATGATTTGGTAATAGCTGCTCATTCAGAGGAGGAGTTGGAGACGCTGCTGCTGAGACTGGAGCGTGCCACTAAGAGATGGGGCCTTACCATCAGCCCCACCAAAACTAAGCACATGGCTGGGTATTTTGTACCATCAGACACTCCACCCCCACAACTCCCAATCGGTGATGGGGCAGTTGTGGAGAGAGTGGAGAGTTTCCCATACCTGGGCAGTGTGCTCATGACCGGCTCCAGTTTAACAGCAGAGGTCTCACTCCAAATCAGTCGAGCGGCAATATCTTTTCATCGGTTGCGTAACGCTGTGTGGAAGCTACCTGGTCTGTCGCTCCCCCTAATGGAACATCTTCGCCGGTTGGAAACATTTAGGCTAGCCTGCCTACGATCCATCCTGGGTTTAACCAGGCTGGATTGTGTGAGCTCACAAATCCTTGAAAGATCTGGGCAAGTTCCCATTGGTGAGCTCCTCCGGAAGGCAAGGCTGCGTTGGCTGGGTCATGTAGCCCGCATGCCCAGCCACCGCATGCCGAAACAGCTTTTGTTTGGCCGGATTGAGGGGGCTAAATGGGCGCGGCACGGGCTAGAGAAGAGATGTAGTGATGTGGTACAGGAGGACGTGGAGCTGAGTGGACTTGTCCATGACTGGTACCAGCGGTGTCAAGATCGGCCTCTTGGGAGGATGCTTGAGAAGGACGCTGCTACCAGCAACAAGGGAGGGCAGAGGAGCGATGCTCACAACAACGGGCAAAGCGCCGGGTGGCTAAAACACAGCAAAGTTAGTACAGTAGGGGGCACAGGTGGTGCATCAGCCACTCGTCTCAGTCATCTCAGTCAGTCGACCCGTGGCACCTGGGTCTGCCCCGTGACGTCCTGCCAGCGGGTGTTCTACCATTCACGTGGCCTTAACGTACACATAGCCTGGCACAAGCGCCGTGTTGGTGTATGTGTGTGCATGTATGTACGTGTATGTATGTGTGTGCGTGAGTTCACCATCGGCTTCTTGAACTCGTTGGGCTTGATGCAGCGCACGAAGAACGGCTGGCAGCCGCTCAACGTCTTCATCAGCTGCTCCAGCGAGCGCTTGAACTGCGTGCTCAGCGTGGGCGAGCGCTTGCGTGTCTCGGCGCCCTGGGGGGCACGGGGGGGGGGGAGACGGAGACAGTGAGGTACGGGGGGAGCCACACGCTGGTACCGCTCTGGCACCACTCTGGTACCACTCTGGTACCACGCTGGTACCACGCTGGTACCACACTGGTACCACTCTGGTACCACGCTGGTACCACGCTGGTACCGCTTTGGTACCATTCTGGCACCACTCTGGTACCATGGTGGTACCGCTCTGGTACCACTCTGGCACCACTCTGGTACCATGCTGGTACCGCTCTGGTACCACTCTGGCACCACTCTGGTACCATGGTGGCACCACGCTGGCACCACTCTGGCACCACACTGGTAACACGCTGGTACCATGCTGGCACCACTCTGGTCGCACGCTGGCACCACTCTGGTACCAGCGTGGTACCACTCTGGTACCACGCTGGTACCACGCTGGTACCACGCTGGCACCGCACTGGTACCACTCTGGCACCACTCTGGTACCGCTCTGGTACCACGCTGGTACCACGCTGGTACAACGCTGGTACAACGCTGGCACCACTCTGGAACCACGCTGGTACCACTCTGGTATCATTCTGGTACCACGCTGGTACCACGCTGGTACCACGCTGGCACCATTCTGGCACCACTCTGGTACCACGCTGGCACCATTCTGGCACCACTCAGGTACCACTCTGGTACCGCTCTGGCACCACTCTGGTACCACGCTGGCACCACTCTGGTACCACTCAGGTACCGCTCTGGCACCACTCAGGTACCGCTCTGGCACCACTCTGGTACCACGCTGGCACCACTCTGGTACCACTCAGGTACCGCTCTGGCACCACTCAGGTACCGCTCTGGCACCACTCTGGTACCGCTCTGGCACCACTCTGGTACCACGCTGGCACCACTCTGGTACCACTCAGGTACCGCTCTGGTACCACGCTGGTACCACTCTGGCACCACTCTGGTACCACTCTGGTACCGCTCAGGTACCACTCAGGTACCACTCTGGTACCACTCTGGTACCACTCAGGTACCGCTCTGGCACCACTCTGGTACCACTCAGGTACCACTCTGGTACCACTCAAGTACCGCTCTGGCACCACTCTGGTACCACTCTGGTACCGCTCAGGTACCACTCAGGTACCACTCTGGTACCACTCTGGTACCACTCAGGTACCGCTCTGGCACCACTCTGGTGCCAGAGCGGTACCAGAGTGGTACCACTCAGGTACCACTCTGGTACCACTCAGGTACCACTCTGGTACCACTGTGGTGCCAGAGCGGTACCAGAGTGGTACCACTCAGGTACCGCTCTGGTACCACTCAGGTACCGCTCTGTGACCACGCTGGCACTGCGTTGGCACCACTTGAGCATCAAACCGGAACCACGCCCCCATCGCACCCATCGTTACACCACCACCATCATCATCACTTTTCCGCAATCACCAATATTCACGATATGACCTCACCATGCACTTCCCACCCCATTGTGTAAACTCACACAGCACCGCACACTACACACACCACACACACTGTACACACTGTACACACCACACACACACACCACGCATCACACACACACACACACCACACACACACCACACACACGCCCAACACGCACCACACACACGCCCAACACACACCACACACACACGCACCACACACACACCGCACACTACACACCACACACACTGTACACACTGTACACACCACACACACACACCACGCATCACACACACACACACACGCCCAACACACACCACACACACACGCACCACACACACACACCACACACACAGACCACACACACCACACGCCACACATCACACACACACACACCACACACACCACACATCACACACACACCACACATCACACATCACACACACACACCACACACACCACACATCACACACACACACCACACATCACACACACACACCACACACACACCACACATACACCACACATCACACACAGACACCACACACCACACACCACACACACCACACACACACACCACACGCCACACATCACACACACACCACGCATCACACACACCACACATCACACACACCACACATCACACACACCACACACACACCACACACACACACCACACATCACACACACACCACACATCACACACATCACACACACACCACACATCACACACATCACACACACACCACACACACACACACCACACACACACCACACACATCACACACACACCACACATCACACACACCACACACACACCACACACACACACCACACACACACCACACACACACCACACACATCACACACACATCACACACACCACACATCACACACACACGCACCACACACACACACACCACACACACACATACCACACACACACACACACCACACATCACAAACACACCACACACACCACGCATCACACACACACACCACACATCACACACACACACCACACATCACGCACACACACCACACACACCATACATCACAAACACACACACACACACACACACCACACATCACACACACCACACAACACACACACACACCACACACACACCACGCACCAGACACACACACCACACACACACCACACATCACACATCACACACCACACATCACAAACACACCACACACACACCACAAATCACACACACACCACACACACACCACACATCACGCACACAAACACACCACACACACACACACCACACATCACATACACACCACACATCACATACACACCACACACCACACACACACCACACATCACACACACCACACACACACCCCACACATCATAGCCACACCACACACACACCCCACACATCACAGACACACCAAAAACACACACACCACGCATCACACACACACACCACAGATCACACACACACCACACATCACACACACACCACACACACACCACACATCACACACACCACACACATCACACACACACACCACACACACACCACACATCACACACACCACACACACACCCCACACATCACAGACACACCACACACACACCACACATCACACACACACCACAAACACACCACAGATCACACACACACCACACATCACACACACCACACATACACCACAGATCACACACACACACCATACACACACCACAGATCACACACACACATCACACACGCACCACACATCACACACTCACTACACATCATACACCACACACCACACACACCACACCACACACCACACATACACCACACATACACCACACATACACCACAGATCACACACACACACACCATACACACACCACAGATCACACACACCACACACACCACACCACACATCACACACTCACTACACATCACACACCACACATACACCACACATCACACACCACACATCACACACACCACACCACACATCACATACACCACACACTCACTACACATCATACACCACACCACACATGACAAACTCACTACACATCACACACACACCACACACATCACACCACACACATCACACACACACCACACACACACCACACATCACACACACACCACACATCACACACACACCACACATCACACACACACCACACACATCACACCACACACATCACACACACACCACACACACACCACACATCACACACACATCACACACACACCACACATCACACTCCACACACACACCACACACACACCCCACACATCACAGACACACACACACACCACACAAACACCACGCATCACACACACACCACACACTATACCACACATCACACACCACACATCACACACCACACACACACCACACACACCACACACACACACCACACATCACACACACACCACACACACACCACACATACACACACACCACACACACACACTACACATACACCACACACACACTACACCACACACACACACACCACACATACACACACCACACACACACACGACACACACACCACACATACACCACACACACACCACCCCAGTCCTACCTTGGGGGGGCGCGTGTAAGAGCCGGACATTGTGCCCGTGTAGCCGCACAGAAACTACGCGGAGATCACAGGGTGCAGGAGGGAGGGAGGGGGGGTAGAGAGGGGGGACGCACGAGTGGGGGGCAGGGAGTGGGGGGGGGGGCAGGGAGGGGGCAGAGAGGGGGGGGCAGGGAGGGGGAGAGATCCGTGAAGTGGGGGGGGGGGGCTCCTCCGTGTGCAGGCAGGGGGCGAGAAGCGCGACACACAGTTAGAACCACAACCACCACACCACAACCACCACCACCACGACACCACCACCACGACACCACCACGACACCACCACAACACCACCACGACACCACCACCACGACACCACCACAACACCACAACCACCACCACCACGACACCACCACCACGACACCACCACCACCAAGGCACCACCACCACAACACCACCACCACCACGACACCACCACCACCACGACACCACCACCACCAAGGCACCACCACACCACCACCACGCCACCACCACCACGACACCACCACCACGACACCACCACCACCACGACACCACCACCACGACACCACCACCACGACACCACCACGACACCACCACGACACCACCACCACGACACCACCACGACACCACCACGACACCACCACCACCACAACACCACCACCACAACACCACCACCACCACGACACCACCACCACGACACCACCACCACCAAGGCACCACCACACCACCACCACAACACCACCACCACGACACCACCACCACGACACCACCACAACACCACCACGACACCACCACCACGACACCACCACAACACCACAACCACCACCACAACACCACCACAACACCACCACCACGACGACACCACCACCACCAAGGCACCACCACCACAACACCACCACGACACCACCACCACACCACCACCACCACGACACCACCACCACGACACCACCACCACGACACCACCACCACCACGACACCACCACCACAACACCACCACCACGACACCACCACCAAGGCACCACCACACCACCACCACGACACCACCACCACGACACCACCACCACGACACCACCACCACGACACCACCACCACGACACCACCACCACAACACCACCACCACAACACCACCACCACGACACCACCACCACGACACCATCACCACGACACCACCACCACCAAGGCACCACCACACCACCACCACAACACCACCACCACGACACCACCACCACGACACCACCACCACCACAACACCACCACCACGACACCACCACGACAACACCACCACGACACCACCACCACGACACCACCATCACCACGCCACCACCACCACAACACCACCACCACCAAGACACCACCACCACGACACCACCACCACCACCTTCGTATGGAGCGACAGACGAGGTAGCTTCCACACAGCGTTACGCGACCAATGAAAAGGCAATGCAGCTCGACTGATTCGGAGTGAGACCTCTGCTGTCAAACTGGAGTCGGTCATGACACACTGCCCAGGTATGGGAAACTCTCCACTCTCTTCACACCTGCCTTATCACCAATGGGGAATTGAGGGGGTGGAGTGTTTGATGGCACCAAATACCCGGGCAGGTGCTTAGTTTTGTAGGGGCTGATGGTAAGGCCTCAACTCTTAGTAGCACGCTCCAGGTTCAGCAACAGCACCTCCAACCCCTCCTCTGAGTGAGCAGCAATCACCAGATCATCAGCATGGTTGACCAATAGGGAGCCATCCTTCGACCACACCTGATCATCGATCAGCCTCCCATTGTATCTGTACCAGATGGACATTCCTCTGGTACAGCCATGGAACTATTTGGTCGAAAAATAAGTGAAATACTGTAGGTGCCAGAGGACATCCCTGTCACACCCCAAGGTGAACAGGGATTGGCTCTGACTCCCGGCCACGTAGTTTTACCCAAGCCCGCCCACCATCATGAAGATCCTTAATGAGCGTGAGCAGAGAATCAGGGACTCCGAAAGCATGAAGATAAACCCAGAGCCCTGGCCTGTTGATGGTATCATAGGCCTTGACCAGGTCAATAAGGCAGAGATATAGGTCCTGGTGGAATTCCCTACACCTCTGCTGTAGCAGACGGACACGAAGTATGGCATCTGTGCAGGACCGCCCTGGCCTGAAACCGCATTGGGGCTCCTGGCAAGGCGACGTTGAATAATCCTTGCCAGTTTCTTTCCCGGCACATTGAGAAGGGAAATTTCCCTGTAGTTGTTACAGTCTGTGCGGTCCCCCTTCTTAAAGGGGGGGACCACCAGAGCATCCTTCAAATCCTGCGGAACCCGTCCAGTGGTCCAGACTGTTGTTATGATGTCATGTAGGACAGCCTGCGCACAAACGCCACCCTCCCTCAGCATTTCGCTTGGGAGATCATCTCTGCCCGGTGCCTTTCCTGTTCTGAGACTCTGGATTACCTTCCGTAAAACCTCCACCGCCATTCGACGTGAGCACCCCAGCTGAAAGCCCAGTGGGGGCTGAGTGGGGGGCCAAGGTACAGGGGGGGGGGTACAGGCGGAGCTCTGTGGCTCTGCCTGGCCAAGACCCCTGGAGAGGCAGCACCGTGGCCCAGAGCGTTGGACGTGCGTTCACCTGCACACTGCCTTGCATGTGCGTGTCCCCTAACCGTGTGCACGCACGCACACGCGTATGCGTGTACACGCGTGTGCGTGTACACGCGTGTGCGTTCGTGTGCATGCGAGTGCGCGTGGGTCTGCCGGTGAGCCTTCGACACTTCACGTGACATCAAAGTGCACCTGGCCTGGCACAGTCGCCATAGAGACGTCATCGTCACTTGGTCGTGGATGGCGGGTGTTGGTGTTGGTGTTGGCGTGCATGGGGAGCGGTAGCGTAATGGTGAGAGCGTTGCACTACGGACGTGGCCACCCGGGTTCGATTCCTGCTCGTGGCCAACACCAGTGACAATTATCCGAACTGGTCCTGGGCCTCCCCTAGGTCGACTCAGCCTCAAATGAGTACCTGGTGCGACGTGTAGACATCGCCACGAGGGAGACAAAGGCGGCCGGGCGTGGTGCTGGCCACCCACCCCCCTCGTGTGCCGTGCCAGCCTTCATAAGTGCTCGCTAACAAGACTTGCCCCAACAGTCTAAGGTTACACGATTCTTTGTCTCTGCGTGCGTGCGTGTGTGTGTGCGTGCGTGTGCGTGCGTGCGTGTGCGTGCGTGTGTGTGCGTGTGCGTGTGCGTGCGTGTACGCGCGTGCGCGTGCGTGTGTGCGCGTGCACGTGCGTGCGTGCGCGTGCGTGCGCGTGCGTGCATGTGCGTGCGTGCACGTGCGTGCACGTGCGTGCGCGTGCGTGCGCGTGCGTGCGTGCGTGTACGTGTGTGCGTGCGTGCGCGCGGGTGCGTGTGCGTGTACGTGCACGTGAGTGTGCGTGCGTGTACGTGCGTGCGTGTACGTGTGTGCGCGCGGGTGCGTGTGCGTGTACGTGCACGTGCGTGCGTGTGCGTGTGCGTGTGTGCACGTGTGTGTACGTGCGTGTACGTGCGTGCGTGTGCTTGCAGTACCATGGCGACGTCGGGCTGGAAGATCTGCTTGATGAACTTGTTACGGGAGGAGTGCACCAGCTGAATGATGTCTCCGTGCAGCGTGTCACGGTTCTTCTCCAGGAAGCCTGCGGGACAACACGCACAGTGCCCCCCACGTCACTCACTCCCCCCCACCCCCACGTCACTCACCACACCCCCACGTCACTCACCGCCCCCCCCACGTCACTCACCACACCCCCACGTCACTCACCGCCCCCCCTTCACGTCGCTCACCGCCCCCCCCCACGTCACTCACCACACCCCCACGTCACTCACCGCCCCCCCCCCACGTCACTCACCACACCCCTACGTCACTCACCGCCCCCCCCCCACATAACTCACCGCCCCCCCCCACGTCACTCACTGCCCCCCCCCCCGCCCACGTCACTCACCGCCCCCGCCCCACGTGGTCGCCTGTGTTGCGATGTAAACTTCGTGGTTTTTTTTGCTATTTTCTTTGAACCTATCTAGGTGACTTTACCGAAAGACCCAAAGAAGTTGAATCCCCCATGTCGCATCAAAAGACTGTTGGGGCAGTGCTGTTAGCGAGTAGCACCTATGAAGGCTGTCAGGCACACAAGGGGGGTTAGTGGCCAGCACCACGCCCGGCCGCCTTTGTTTCCCCAGTGGCGATGTTTGCCAACCGCACCAGATACTCATTTGAGGCCGAGTCGGCCTAGGAGAGGCCCAGGACTGCTTCAGATAATCGTCACTGGTGTTGGCAGTGAGTGGGGATCCAACTTGGCTCGCTGGCTTTGTAGCGTGGCGTGCCAACCGCTACGACACCGCTTCCCACTTGGCCACATACAACAACAACCGCCATTCGCCACTAAGTGGCGGTGACATCACCACAGCGCTTGTGCCAGGCTATGTGCACTTGAAGGCCAAGTGAAGTGTTGAACGCTCGCTGGCAGGAGGTCACGGGACAGACCCAAGTGCCATGGATTGGCTGACTGAGATGACTGGCTGATGCACCACCTGTGCCCACTTGCTGTGCTTTAGCCACACGGCGCTCCGCTCGTTGTTGTGAGCGTCGCTCCTCCGCCCTCCGTTGTTGTTGGAGGGCGACTGCCTCCAACTGCCCAGTAGCGTCCTTCACGAGCCTCCTCCACAGAGGCCGATCTTGACACCGCTGGTACCAGTCATTGGCAGCGGGCGTCCCCCTTGCATCACTACGTCTCTTCTCTAGCCCGTGCTGTGCCCATTTAGCCCCCTCTATCCTGTCAAACAAAAGCTGTTTCGGCATGCGGTGGCTGGGCATGCGGGCTACATGACCCTGCGAATGCAGCCTTGTCTGCCGGAGGAGCTCACCGATGGGAATGTGTCCAGATCTTTCAAGGATTTGTGAGCTCAAAAAATCCGGCCTGATTGAACCCAGGATGGATCATAGGCAGGTCAGCCGAAATATTTCTAACCGGTGAAGATGTTCCATGAAGGGGGTGCACGTTTCGCAAGCGTAGAGAAGGGAGGGAGTGACCGTGGCCGAATAGACCCAAAGCTTCGTGTAGAGTGACCAGGTAGCTTCCACACAGCGTTACACAGTCGATGAAAAGATAATGACGCTCGGCTGATTTGGTGTGAGACCTCTGCTGTCAAACCGGAGCCGGTCATGAGCACAATCCTCAGGTATGAAAAACTCTCCACTCTCTCCACAACTGCCCCATGGCCAATTGGGAGTTGTGGGGGTAGAGTGTTTAATGGCACAAAATACCCAGGCAGGTGCTTAGTTTTGGTGGGGGCTGATAGTAAGGCCCCACCTCTTAGTGGCACACTCCAGTTTCAGCAGTAGTGCCTCCAACTCCACTGAGTGAGCAGCAATCACCAGATCATCGGTATACATAACATGGTTGACCAATAGGGAGCCATCCCTTGACCGCACCCGGGCAACAATCAGCCTCCCATTATATCTGTACCAGATGGAAATTCCTCCGGTACAGCCATCGAAGACTTTACGAACTACGTAGTCGAAATAGATGTTAAATAATAAAGTGAACCAAGAAGTCTCTGCCTGCCTGCCACGAAGTTTTACCCAGGCCCGCTCACCATCATGAAGGTCCTTAATGAGCATGAGCAGAGGGTCGGGGACTCTGAAAGCACGAATAACAACCCAGAGCCCAGGCCTACTGATGGTATCATAGGCCTTGACCAGGTGAATAAAGCACAGCGACAGGTACTATTATAATTTCCGACGCCTCTGATGTAGCAGACAGACTGAAAATATGGTATCTGTGCAAGACCACCCTGGCCTGAAACCACATTGGGGCTCCGCAAGCCTCTCCTCAGCGTGGCTGGCAAGGCGATGTTGAATAATCCTTGCCAGGACCTTTCCTGGCACACTGAGGAGTGAGATGCCCCTGTAATTGTTACAGTTTGTGCAGTCCACCTTCTTAAAGAGGGGGACCACCAGGGCATCCTTCCAATCCTGTAGAACCCATCCAGTGGTCCAGACTGTTGTTATGATGTCATATAGGGCAGTCTGTGCACAAATGCCACCCTCCCTCAGCATTTCGCTTTGGAGATCATCTCTGCCCGCTGCCTTTCCTGGTCTTAGACTCTGCATCACCTTCAGTACTTCCTCAACAGATGGCACCTCAGCCAGCCACTCACAGGGGGTGACTAATTCTTCCAATATGGCCAAGAGCACACGCACACGCACGTGTGCACGAGCGTGTGCGTGCCGGTACGTGCGTGCCGGTACGTGCGTGCCGGTACGTGCGTGCCGGTACGTGCGTGCTGGTACGTGCGTGCCGGTACGTGCGTGCCGGTACGTGTGTGCCGGTACGTGCGTGCCGGTACGTGCGCCCTCACCGTGCGCCTCGTAGAAGACGACGCCGGCGAAGTGGTTGAGGCCGAACTGGGAGTCGTGGGCGTTGCGTGGAGGGATGTAGTTGGCGTTGAGCTTGTGCTGCGCATTCAGCTTGTGCAGCATCGTGGTGTCCGTGCCCTGCGGGCGCCACACACGTCGCCCCCGCCGCCATCATCACGTCCAACGACATCGCCGCCGCCATCAACATCATTACCGTCACCACCGTCACTGCCATGGCCATCGGCATCACCATCGCGGGCACCACCGACACATATCCACCATCGTCATCATTACCATCGTCACCTGAAAAAATAATCATCACCACCGCCATCACCATCGCCACCGTCACCGCCATCAACGCCGTCACTGCCATCACCATCGTGGGCAGGGGCCAGCGGTGGTCCTTCATAAAGAACTTCACGAAGCAGCAGCCCTTGAAGAGCCACCGCATGCCGCTACGGAGCCGCAGGATGCCGACCCCTCATCAGGGCAACATCGCCACCACGGTGGCTAGGAGATCTCCCTCGCCTGGTGTATATTTGAGTTTGCGTGCTGTTCTCTCTCTCTCTCTCCCCGTGGTCGCGTGGATTATTCTCTGGGGTCCCCCAGTAATTGGCTGCTTTAAATGTCCACGTGATGAGAAGCGACTTTCAATGTCCACGTGATGAGAAGCGACTTTAAATGTCCATGTGATGAGAAGCGACTTTCAATGTCCACGTGATGAGAAGCGACTTTAAATGTCCACGTGATGATAAGCGACTTTAAATGTCCACGTGATGAGAAGCGACTTTAAATGTCCACGTGATGATGAGCGACTTTAAATGTCCACGTGATGATAAGCGACTTTAAATGTCCACGTGACGATGAGCGACTTTAAATGTCCACGTGATGAGAAGCGACTTTAAATGTCCACGTGATGAGAAGCGACTTTCAAGGTCCACGTGATGAGAAGCGACTTTAAATGTCCACGTGATGAGAAGCGACTTTAAATGTCCACGTGATGAGAAGCGACTTTCAATGTCCACGTGATGAGAAGCGACTTTCAATGTTCACGTGATGAGAAGCGACTTTAAATGTCCACGTGATGAGAAGCGACTTTAAATGTCCACGTGATGAGAAGCAACTTTAAATGTCCACGTGATGAGAAGCGACTTTCAATGTCCACGTGATGAGAAGCGACTTTCAATGTTCACGAGATGAGAAGCGACTTTCAATGTCCACGTGATGAGAAGCGACTTTCAATGTCCACGTGATGAGAAGCGAAATTCAATGTCCACGTGATGAGAAGCGACTTTAAATGTCCACGTGATGAGAAGCGACTTTCAATGTCCACGTGATGAGAAGCGACTTTCAATGTCCACGTGATGAGAAGCGACTTTAAATGTTCACGTGATGATAAGCGACTTTAAATGTCCACGTGATGAGAAGCGACTTTAAATGTCCACGTGATGAGAAGCGACTTTAAATGGCCACGTGATGATAAGCGAGTTTAAATCTCCACGTGATGAGAAGCGACTTTAAATGTCCACGTGATGAGAAGCGACTTTAAATGTCCACGTGATGAGAAGCGACTTTAAATGTCCACGTGATGAGAAGCGACTTTAAATGTCCACGTGATGAGAAGCGACTTTCAATGTCCACGTGATGAGAAGCGACTTTCAATGTTCACGTGATGAGAAGCGACTTTCAATGTCCACGTGATGAGAAGCGACTTTCAATGTCCACGTGATGAGAAGCGAAATTCAATGTCCACGTGATGAGAAGCGACTTTAAATGTCCACGTGATGAGAAGCGACTTTCAATGTCCACGTGATGAGAAGCGACTTTCAATGTCCACGTGATGAGAAGCGACTTTAAATGTTCACGTGATGATAAGCGACTTTAAATGTCCACGTGATGAGAAGCGATTTTAAATGTTCACGTGATGAGAAGCGACTTTAAATGTCCACGTGATGAGAAGCGACTTTAAATGTCCATGTGATGATGAGCGACTTTAAATGTTCACGTGAAGATAAGCGACTTTCAAGGTCCACGTGATGAGAAGCGACTTTCAAGGTCCACGTGATGAGAAGCGACTTTCAAGGTCCACGTAATGAGAAGCGACTTTAAATGTTCACGTGATGAGAAGCGACTTTAAATGTCCACGTGATGAGAAGCGACTTTAAATGTTCACGTGATGAGAAGCGACTTTAAATGTTCACGTGATGAGAAGCGACTTTAAATGTCCACGTGATGAGAAGCGACTTTAAATGTTCACGTGATGAGAAGCGACTTTAAATGTTCACGTGATGAGAAGCGACTTTCAATGTCCACGTGATGAGAAGCGACTTTCAATGTTCACGTGATGAGAAGCGACTTTAAATCTCCACGTGATGAGAAGCGACTTCGCTGAGCCATCATTTATGGCCAGATACCTTCTGAAAAGAGCGATGCAGCTCAGTGGGCTTTTATAAACTAAAATAGTTTCGTTTAAAGTTCAATACCACCATCACCCATCATGCAAACCGTCACCGACACACTCATCGGCAACAATAACGATGGTGATGATGGTGGTGATGGTGGTACATCTTCCAAAGTGAGGGTTCTGGGTGGGAGCACGAGGGAGGGAGGGGGAGGGAGGGAGGGAGGGGGAGGGAGGGAGGGAGGGAGGGAGGGAGGGGGGGAAGGAGGGAGGGATGGAGGGGGGAGGGAGGGCTCCGTGTTGTGACACCCAACGCCCTCCCCGCTCTCTCATGGCAACACAACACTACAACACAGACGCCACCTCTAAAACATTCATGTGTGTCACCCACCCACCCTGCTCCCCATGACAATGGAGAGGGGCCGGAGGTGGGTGGGGGGCCGGGTGGGAGGGAGAGGGACCGGGGATGGGAGGGTGGGGGGCTGAGGGGTGGGAGGGAGGGGGGCTGGGGGGTGGGGGGACCGGGTGGGAGGGTGGGGGGCTGGGGGGTGGGAGGGTGGGGGGCTGGGGGGTGGGGGGCTGGGGGGTGGGAGGGTGGGGGGCTGGGGGGTGTGGAGGGTGGGGGGCTGGGGGGTGGGAGGGTGGGAGGGTGGGGGGGCTGGGGGGTGGGAGGGTGGGGGGCTGGGGGTGGGAGGGTGGGAGGGTGGGGGGCTGGGGGTGGGAGGGTGGGAGGGTGGGGGGCTGGGGGTGGGAGGGTGGGGGGCTGGGGGTGGGAGGGTGGGGGGCTGGGGGTGGGAGGGTGGGGGGCTGGGGGGTGGGGAGGGTGGGGGGCTGGGGGTGGGAGGGTGGGGGGCTGGGGGTGGGAGGGTGGGGGGCTGAGGGGTGGGAGGGTGGGGGGCTGAGGGGGTGGGAGGGTGGGAGGGTGGGGGGCTGAGGGGTGGGAGGGGTGGGAGGGTGGGGGGCTGAGGGGTGGGAGGGTGGGGGGGGTGGGGGGCTGAGGGGTGGGAGGGTGGGGGGGGTGGGGGGCTGAGGGGTGGGAGGGTGGGGGGCTGAGGGGTGGGAGGGTGGGGGGCTGAGGGGTGGGAGGGTGGGGGGCTGAGGGGTGGGAGGGTGGGGGGCTGAGGGGTGGGAGGGTGGGGGGGCTGAGGGGCGGGAGGGTGGGGGGGCTTGGGGGAGTGACCCCGTGGAGCGGGAGTAATGGAGTGTTTGCACGTGGAGTGTTTACACGTGGAGTGTTTGCACGTGGAGTGTTTACACGTGGAGTGTGTTACACGTGGAGTGTTTACACGTGGAGTGTTTACACGTGGAGTGTTTGCACGTGGAGTGTTTACACGTGGAGTGTTTACACGTGGAGGGGACACGGGAGCCGTGTGGACGGATGGATCATCCGCCCGCACGTCCATCACATCGCCCATCCTATCTCCAGCGACGCTCGTGACCCACGCTGTGCTGTGTTTAAGAGAGGTTCGTGGTGTAACAGGACCCGTGTCTAACACAGAGAGAGAGAGACACAGGGAGGGTCCCCCTTGCATAGGAACACTCTGGCAGCTCGCCTGCAGCATTGGTTCAAGCGAGCCCAACCCTACCGCTGATGACACCCCGGACGTCGGAACCGGTGCAGAGCTTCGCTTGCGTCCAGCCAATGCCGCTGATGAGACGGGACTCCCCGGAAGGAAGTCCGTGCGGCCGACGGGATGAGGCGTCGTGTCTGTTCGGAAGGTGCTCGGAGGGAGCGCGGCCTCGTGCGTGACACGCGGTCACGGGCAACGTGAAGTGACGTGGAGAGGCCGCGTGTGGCCCCATGGCATGCGGCCTCACGGCATGCGCCCTGCAGTCTGCAGCCCGCGATATACGCAGGTTGTAAACCCCATATCGCCGCTACCGTGCCGACACGGGCGACTAAACTCAACTCTTTTTTAATGTTTGCCATGTAAGGCCCAACTGAACTATACAGCTCTTTTTCAGAAGCCACTTGGCAATCACAAATGATAGCCCAACCAAGTGTACTATCATCAGCACGTGGACATGTATGGGACGCGTGGTGATATTGATTTTAAACGTGGAGGGGAAAACCGTGGGACCCGGACAAAAGTCCACGCGACCACAGGGGGAGAGAGACAGAGAGAGAGACAGAGAGAGAGACACCGCAAACTCCAAATATACAGCAGCAGCAGGCATCATCAGGCTCCGGGATCGAACCCACGACCTCCTGTATACCAGGCGAGGTAGTTAACATCTCCTAGCCACTGTGATGATGAGAGACACAAACTCCAAATATACAACAGCAGCAGCAGGCATCATCAGGCTCCGGGATCGAACCCACGACCTCCTGTACACCAGGCGAGGTAGTTAACATATCCTAGCCACCGTGATGATGAGAGACACAAACTCCAAATTTACAGCAGCAGCAGCAGGCATCATCAGGCTCCAAGATCGAACCCACGACCTCCTGTATACCAGGCGAGGTAATTAACATCTCCCAGCCACCGTGATGATGAGAGACACAAACTCCAAATATACAGCAACAGCAGCAGGCATCATCAGGCTCCGGGATCAAATGCACGACCTCCTGTACACCAGGCGAGGTAGTTAACATCTCCCAGTCACCGTGGTGACGTTAGCGCCCACCCCCGTGCCCCCCACCCCGTGCCCCCCCACCCCGTGCCCCCCACCCGTGCCCCCCACCCCGTGCCTCCCACCCCGTGCCCCCCCCCCCCACCTTGGGGAACTTGCTCTCCTCGTCGATGAGCGAGATGATGTTCATCGGCTTGAGGGCGATCATGTCGAGCGCGTCCTGGTTGTCGGAGAACTCGATGTGGCGCCAGCTGATGTCCTCCAGCTCGTACTCCTCCTGCTCCAGCTTGAACACGTGGCGCACAAAGAACTGCTGCAGGTTCTCGTTCGCAAAGTTGATGCACAGCTGCTCGAAGCTGGGGGGCCGGGGGGGGAGGGGGGGCAGAGTGGGGGGAGGAGAGTCAATATTGATCACGTGTGCCCGGTGAGGGTGACGTGGTGAGGGTGACGGTGAGGGTGACGCGGTGAGAGTGACGTGGTGAGGGTGACGCGGTGAGGGTGACGCGGTGAGGGTGACGCGGTGAGGGTGACGCGGTGAGGGTGACGTGGTGAGGGTCACGCGGTGAGGGTGACGTGGTGAGGGTGACGCGGTGAGGGTGACGCGGTGAGGGTGACGTGGTGAGGGTGACGTGGTGAGGGTGACGTGGTGAGGGTGACGCGGTGAGGGTGACGCGGTAAGGGTGACGCGGTGAGGGTCACGCGGTGAGGGTCACGCGGTGAGGGTCACGTGGTGAGGGTCACGTGGTGAGGCTGTTCACTCGAGCGCCATTCACCTGTTCACGTGGAAGTTCTCGAAGCCGAATATGTCGAGCAGTCCGATGGAGCGTCGCGAGGCCTTGGGGTCCGGCTGGGGCGGCCTGCCGGGGCGGAGCGCACACAGACAGAGCTCCCCCGCCTAGCACAACGAGGCCTGCCACAGCGGAGCGCACACACAGACAGAGCTCCCCCGCCTAGCACAACGCGGCCTGCCGGAGGGCACACAGACAGAGCTCCCCCGCCTAGCGCAATGCGGCCTACTGGGGCGAGCGCGGTGCTAGCGAGGAGCACCGTCAAGGGCGGCACGGCACGCCGGGTGGGCGGTCGACAGCGCCACGCCCGGCCGCCTTTGTTTCCCCAGCATCGCGACCAGGTACTCGTTTACAGGGTCGAGTCGGCCTAGGGACCCAGGTCCCGTTCCGGTTTCGGATAATCGCCACCGATGTGATCGGGCGCTGAGCGGGAATGGAACCCGAGTCGCCAGGTTCTTGGCGTGGTGCGCCGACCTGCTGCACCACCGCTCCCCGTGCACGCGCCAAGCCACAGGGGCGCGGTGAGCACCCGCAGCTCACCACGGTCTCGCGGTGAGCACCCGCAGCTCACCACGGTCTCGCGTGGACACGAGGGTGAGCACCCGCACCTCACCCCGGTCTCACGTGGACAGGCGGTGAACACCCGCAGCTCACCCCGGTCTCACGTGGACACGCGGTGAACACCCGCACCTCACCCCGGTCTCACGTGGACAGGCGGTGAACACCCGCACCTCACCCCGGTCTCACGTGGACGTGCGGTGAGCACCCCCAGCTCACCACGGTCTCACGTGGACACGCGGTGACCAGCCGCAGCTCACCCCAGTCTCACGTGGACATGAGGTGAACACCCGCACCTCACCCCGGTCTCACGTGGACACGCGGTGACCAGCCGCAGCTCACCACCCGTGCCGGCCATTGTGAGCTCCCCGCCCCCTCACCTGTAGATCGCTGCGTTGATCTTCTCCACGATCCACACGAACATCCGCCCGTAGATTCCCTGCCAGCGCCACGCACAGGTCAGCACACCGCGACACGTGCACACACACACACAGGTGAGCACATGGGCACGCATGGACAGTCATCTTAGTGAGTGAGTGATTGTGACCACGTGATTGTGAGTGAGTGATCGCGAGTGATAGTGAGTGAGTATTCGCGAGTGAGTGATCGTGAGTGAGTGATCGTGAGTGAGTGATCGTGAGTGAGTGAGTGATCGTGAGAGTGATCGTGAGTGAGTGAGTGAACGTGAGTGAGGGATCGTGAGTGAGTGATCGCGAGTGAGTGAGTGATCGTGTGTGAGTGAACGTGAGTGAGTGAACGTGAGTGAGAGATCGCGAGTGAGTGATCGTGAGCGAGTGATTGTGAGCGAGTGATTGTGAGCGAGTGATCATGAGTGAGTGATTGCGAGTTATTGCGAGTGATTGCGAGTGATTGTGGGCGAGTGATTGCGAGTGATTGCGGGTGAGTGATTGCGAGTGATTGCGGGTGAGTGATTGCGAGTGATTGTGAGTGATTGTGGGTGAGTGATTGCGAGTGATTGCGAGTGATTGCGAGTGAGTGATTGCGAGTGATTGTGAGTGATTGCGGGTGAGTGATTGCGAGTGATTGTGAGCGAGTGATTCCGAGCGATTGCGAGTGAGTGATTGTGAGTGATTGTGAGTGATTGCGAGTGATTGCGGGCGAGTGATTGCGAGTGATTACGAGTGATTGCGAGTGCTTGCGGGCGAGTGATTGTGAGTGATTGTGAGTGATTGCGGGCGAGTGATTGCGAGTGATTGTGGGCGAGTGATTGCGAGTGATTGTGAGTGATTGCGGGCGAGTGATTCCGAGTGATTGCGGGTGAGTGATTGCGAGTGATTGCGGGTGAGTGATTGCGAGTGATTGCGTGCCTTGACGAAGGCGTCGCGCACATCCAGCGCCTGCTCCATGTTGAGCGGCGTTGTGACGCTCTCCCCACGTGTGATGATGCTGCGGCTCGTCAGGCAGTTACGCAGGTCCACCTCGTCCACCTGGGGGCGCGGGTCACGGGGTCACACGGGGTCACACGGGGTCACACGGGGTCAGGGATGGGGGTGTGGTCACGGGGTGTGTGTCACGTGGTTAGAGTCAGGGATGGGGGTGTGGGTCACGTGGTTAGAGACAGAGATGGGGGGGTGTGTCACATGGTTAGAGTCAGGGATGGGGGTGTGGGTCACGTGGTTAGAGTCAGGGATGGGGGTGTGGGTCACGTGGTTAGAGTCAGGGATGGGGGTGTGTGTCACGTGGTTAGAGTCAGGGATGGGGGTGTGGGTCACGTGGTTAGAGTCAGGGATGGGGGTGTGGGTCACGTGGTTAGAGTCAGGGATGGGGGTGTGGGTCACGTGGTTAGAGTCAGGGATGGGGATGTGGGTCACGTGGTTAGAGTCAGGGATGGGGGTGTGTGTCACGTGGTTAGAGTCAGGGATGGGGGTGTGGGTCACGTGGTTAGAGTCAGGGATGGGGGTGTGGGTCACGTGGTTAGAGTCAGGGATGGGGGTGTGGGTCACGTGGTTAGAGTCAGGGATGGGGGTGTGGGTCACGTGGTTAGAGTCAGGGATGGGGGTGTGGGTCACGTGGTTAGAGTCAGGGATGGGGGTTTGGGTCACGTGGTTAGAGACAGGGATGGGGGTGTGGGTCATGTGGTTAGAGTCAGGGATGGGGGTGTGTGTCACGTGGTTAGAGACAGAGATGGGGGTGTGGCTCACGTGGTTAGAGACAAGGATGGGGGTGTGTGTCACGTGGTTAGAGACAGGGATGGGGGTGTGTGTCACGTGGTTAGAGACAGGGATGGGGGTGTGCGTCACGTGGTTAGAGTCAGGGATGGGGGTGTGGGTCACGTGGTTAAAGACAGGGATGGGGGTGTGGGTCACGTGGTTAGAGACAGGGATGGGGGTGTGGGTCACGTGGTTAGAGACAGAGATGGGGGTGTGGGTCACGTGGTTAGAGACAGGGATGGGGGTGTGCGTCACGTGGTTAGAGTCAGGGATGGGGGTGTGTGTCACGTGGTTAGAGTCAGGGATGGGGGTGTGTGTCACGTGGTTAGAGTCAGGGATGGGGGTGTGGGTCACGTGGTTAGAGACAGGGATGGGGGTGTGGGTTAGGGGGTTAGGGGGTTAGGGGTCAGGGGTCAGGGGTCACCTCGAGCAGGGTGGAAGCGACGCGGAGGTGCGGGGAGGAGAGAACCTCACACGAGTCCAGGTTGTCATAGGTGCGCGCTGTGGGGAACCCGCAACATCGTCACCAATATCGTCACCAACATCGTCACCACCATCACCAACATCGTCACCATCACCAACATCACCAATATCGTCACCAACATCATCACCAACATCGTCACCAACATCGTCACCATCACCAACATCGTCACCATCACCACCATCACCAACATCGTCACCATCACCACCATCACCAACATCGTCACCAACATCGTCACCAACATCGTCACCATCACCACCATCACCAACATCTTCACCAACATCGTCACCATCACCAACATTGTCACCATCACCACCATCACCATGATCGTCTCATCTAGACCCTCACCTACGCCCCTACCCACCCACGTACCCCCCCACCACGTACCCCCCGCGTACCCCCCCATGTACCCCCCACGTACCCCCCCCGTGCGTACCCCCCCCGTGCGTACCCCCCCGTGCGTACCCTCGAACAGCAGGTTTCCCATGTGCAGCACGGCTGCGAGCAGCTTGGACACCTCCCAGATCTCGGTGTCGGTGAACATGAGGACCTTCATGGCCGAGCAGATGTTGGCAAACTCAGCGGCGTCGTCACGCCCCTCGCACTGAATACAGCTCCCCTGCACGGGGGGGGCACGGGGGGGCACGGGGGGGGCGGGGGGGGCACGGGGGGGGGCGGGGGGGGCACGGGGGGATCGGGGAGACAAAAGTATAATGGGAGATGCACGGGCATCAGGGACACACACGGTTGTGAGGGGGACGCGGATAAGAGGCAAACGCGGATAAGACGGAGACGAGGATAAGCGGGGGGGGCTTCCAGATAAGGGGGAGACACAGGTATGGAAGACACGTGGATATAGGAGACAATAATAAGGGGTAAGCGTGCGGATACGAGGGAGGGAGGCGTGCGGATACGAGGGAGGGAGGCGTGCGGATACGAGGGAGGGAGGCGTGCGGATACGAGGGAGGGAGGCGTGCACCATGGTGAGGTAGCTGTACTGCTCGGCGGAGCCCAGGTGCAGCTGCCGCTTGCCGTCCCCCGCCATGCCGCGCAGCATGCAGTAGAAGACGTGGTAGTTCCTCTCGTCCGCCGCCTACAGACACAGAGGTGGTGTAGCCTCGACAGACTGTTGGGGTAAGAGTTGTTCGCGAGCAGCACCTCTGAAGGCCGGCACAGCACAAGGCGGCCAGCACCGCGCCCGGCCGCCTTTGTCTCCCCCAGTGGCGGCGACCTTACACCACCGCACCACGTGCTCGGGACCGAGTCAGATCGTGGCCGTAGCGGCCGTGATGAGCGGGAACCGAATTCGGGTTGCGGCTGCGTCCGTGGCTCGGGATGCTAACCGCGGCGCCACCACTCCCGACTCGAGCCAGGCCACGCACGCAGACACACACAGGACAAAGGTCCCCTAGGTAGCTCACACGGGCCGTTGGGGCAAGTGCCATTAGCGAGCACCGCCGATTAAGGGGTGGGTGGGCAGCACCACGCCCTTGCCGCCTTTGTCTCCCCAGTGTTGGTGTTTACACACCGCACCACGTGCTCATTTCAAGGCTGAGTCGACCTAGGTGAGGCCCAGCACAGGTTTGTATATTAGCCCTGTGAGCGGGAATCGAACTCAGGTTACTGGATTCGTAGTGCAGCGGTGGCTACACTACCGACGGCCCACCTGGTGGTACACGCTGACTCACCTGGTGGTACACGCTGACTCACCTGGTGGTACACGCTGACTCACCTGGTGGTACACTCCAACTCACCTGGTGGTACACTCCGACTCACCTGGTGGTACACTCCGACTCACCTGGCGACACACGCTGACTCACCTGGTGGTACACTCCGACTCACCTGGTGGTACACTCCGACTCACCTGGTGGTACACTCCGACTCACCTGGTGGTACACGCTGACTCACCTGGTGGTACACTCCGACTCACCTGGTGGTACACTCCGACTCACCTGGTGGTACACTCCGACTCACCTGGTGGTACACTCCGACTCACCTGGCGACACACGCCGACTCACCTGGTGGTACACTCCGACTCACCTGGTGGTACACTCCGACTCACCTGGCGACACACGCGCGTCTTCTCCAGCAGGTACTGCTCGATCTTGGCACCTTCGATGGCTCCGCGCCGGTTGAAGTGGATGTCGATGTACTTGCCGAAACGGCTCGAGTTGTCATTCCGGATCGTCTTGGCGTTGCCGAACGCTGGCGGACACGAGACGGCACGGTCACCGATGAGGAGTCGTCGCGGCAACGTTCATGCAGTCACGGCAACGGCGGCGGCACCGCGGACAGAATCCAGGTCGTCGCCCTATTCGCGATGCCGGGTCAGGCGACACGGTTATTCACACTACCCAAGACGCTGGGCCCCAGGGGATTCGTCGGCGCGGTGAGGAGCCGCGGTGAGGAGCCGCGGTGAGGAGCCGCGGTGAGGAGCCGCTCACCTTCCAGGATGGGGTTCGCCTCCAGGACCTGCTGCTCGATCCACGAATGCTGCCCGCTCACCGCCGCCAGGAACTGCAGGATGAGCTTCGTGCTCTCCGTCTTCCCCGCGCCGGACTCCCCGCTGCCTCCGCAAAATGCGGCACGCGGCACACCACAAGGCACGTGGCACACCACAAGGCACGTGGCACACCACAAGGCACGCGGCACACCGCAAGGCACGCGGCACACCACAAGGCACGCGGCACACCACAAGGCACGCGGCACACCACAAGGCACGCGGCACACCACAAGGCACGCGGCACACCACAAGGCACGCGCCACACCACAAGGCACGCGGCACACCGCAAGGCACGTGGCACACCACAAGGCACGCGGCACACCACAAGGCACGCGGCACACCACAAGGCACGCGGCACACCGCAAGGCACGTGGCACACCGCAAGGCACGCGGCACACCACAAGGCACGCGGCACACCGCAAGGCACGCGGCACACCACAAGGCACGCGGTACACCACGCGGCACACCGCAAGGCACACGCCATGCGGCACACCACAAGGCACGCGGCACACCGCAAGGCACGCGGCACACCACAAGGCACGTGGCACACCACGCGGCACACCACAAGGCACACGCCACGCGGCACACCGGGACATGCACCACGCAGCACACACCAAGAGCACACCGCGCCACACACAGAGGCTCACCCACCCCCCCCCTCTCTCTCACGCTCGCATTCAGCACAAAGACAAAGCTACCCAGTGCAACCTTAACAGACTGCCGGGGCAAGTGCGGTAGCGAGTAGCATCAACGAAGGCCGGCACGGCACACGAGGGGGCGGGTGGCCAGCACCATGCCGGGCCGCCTTTGTCTCCCCAGTGGCGATGTTCACACACCGCACTAGGTACTCATTTGAGGCCGAGTCGACCTAGGGGAGGCCTATGACCGGTTCAGAAAATCGAACTCGAGTCGCCGTGTTGGTAGCTCACCGCTGCACTGCCGTGCGCGCACCGCCCGCACCTGATGATGCAGCACTGGTCGCGGTTGTTACGCCGCATGCTGAAGTAGCAGTTGTCGGCGATGGCGAAGATGTGCGGCGCCATCTCGCCGATCTTGCGGTTGGTGTAGAGGCGGATCTGCTCTGCCGTGTAGATGGGGAGCAGCTGGTACGGGTTCACCGCCACCAGGATGGAGCCCGTGTAGGTCTGGGGTGGGGGGGGGGGCACGCGGGGGTGAGACGCGGGGCAGGTGAGGCACAAGCGACGTGACACAATGCAAGCATCATGCACGAGGCGGTGGTGTCATGGGTAGGGGCGGTGGTGGTGTCATGGGTAGGGGTGGTGGTGTCATGGGTAGGGGTGGAGGTGTCATGGGTAGGGGTGGTGGTGGTGTCATGGGTAGGGGTGGTGGTGTCGTGGGTAGGAGTGGTGGTGCCGTGGGTAGGGGCGGTGGTGTCATGGGTAGGGGTGGCGGTGTCGTGGGTAGGGGTGGCGGTGTCATGGGTAGGGGTGGTGGTGCCGTGGGTAGGGGCGGTGGTGTCATGGGTAGGGGTGGCGGTGCCGTGGGTAGGGGTGGCGGTGTCGTGGGTAGGGGTGGCGGTGTCATGGGTAGGGGTGGTGGTGCCGTGGGTAGGGGTGGTGGTGTCGTGGGTAGGGGTGGTGGTGCCGTGGGTAGGAGTGGTGGTGCCGTGGGTAGGGGTGGTGGTGTCGTGGGTAGGGGTGGTGGTGTCGTGGGTAGGGGTGGTGGTGTCGTGGGTAGGAGTGGTGGTGCCATGGGTAGGGGTGGAGGTGTCATGGGTAGGGGTGGTGGTGTCATGGGTAGGGGTGGTGGTGTCGTGGGTAGGGGTGGCGGTGTCATGGGTAGGGGTGGTGGTGCCGTGGGTAGGGGCGGTGGTGTCATGGGTAGGGGTGGCGGTGTCGTGGGTAGGGGTGGCGGTGTCATGGGTAGGGGTGGTGGTGTCATGGGTAGGGGTGGTGGTGCCGTGGGTAGGGGCGGTGGTGTCATGGGTAGGGGTGGCGGTGTCATGGGTAGGGGTGGTGGTGGTGTCATGGGTAGGGGTGGTGGTGTCATGGGTAGGGGTGGTGGTGTCATGGGTAGGGGTGGTGGTGTCATGGGTTTGGGTGGTGGTGTCATGGGTAGGGGTGGTGGTGTCATGGGTAGGGGTGGTGGTGTCATGGGTAGGGGTGGTGGTGTCATGCTCTAATTTGGTATAAGAGTAACTCACCCTCCCACCACAGTTGGTCTTAGAGAATTAGGGAGAGAAACGATGGAGTGAGAGAGACACGGGGGAGAGACACGGGGGAGAGACACGGGGGAGAGACACGGGGGAGAGACACAGGGGAGCGGGAGAGACACAGGGGAGAGACACAGGGGAGCGGGAGAGACACAGGGGAGAGACACGGAGGAGAGACACAGGGGGGCGATACGGGGGAGAGACACGGGGGAGAGACACGGGGGAGTGAGAGAGAGACGGGGGAGTGAGAGAGACACGGGGGAGCGAGAGAGACACGGGGGAGCGAGAGAGACACGGGGGAGTGACACGGGGGAGCGACACGGGGGAGCGACACGGGGGAGTGACACGGGGGAGTGACACGGGGGAGAGACACGGGGGAGAGACACAGGGGAGCGACACGGGGGAGTGACACGGGGGAGTGACACGGGGGAGAGACACGGGGGAGAGACACGGGGGAGAGAGAGAGACACGGGGGAGCGAGAGAAACACGGGGGAGTGACACGGGGGAGCGAGAGAGACACGGGGGAGCGAGAGAGACACGGGGGAGCGAGAGAGACACGGGGGAGTGACACGGGGGAGCGAGAGAGACACGGGGGAGTGAGAGAGACACGGGGGAGCGAGAGAAACACGGGGGAGTGACACGGGGGAGCGAGAGAGACACGGGGGAGCGAGAGAGACACGGGGGAGCGAGAGAGACACGGGGGAGCGAGAGAGACAGCACACTCCAGGTCAGACAGTAGTGCGCATGGCGCTGCGCCGATGCAGCCGCCACCGGCGTCGCACGCAACGCCGGTGGCGGCTGCATCGGCGGTGCCGCGCGACCGTGTACAAGAGAGACAAAGATCCCCCGTGTAGCCTTGACAGACTGTTGGGTCAAGTGCTGTTAGCGAGCACCTATGTAGGCCGAAACGGTAAACAAGGGGGTGGGTGGCCAGCACCACGCCCGGTCGCCTTTGTCTCCCCAGTGGCGATGTTTACACACCGCACCAGGTACTCATTTGAGGCAGAGTCGACCTAGGGGAGGCCCAGGACCGGTTCAGATAATCGTCACTGATGGTGTTGGCTGTGAGCGGGAATCGAACTCGGGTTACCGGGTCCGTAGCGCAGCGTAGCGCTAACCACTACGCTACTGCTCCTGTCCCGGGCCGCCCCTAGGTCGCCTCAGCCTTAACCGAGTACCTAGGGGAGACAAAGGCGGCTGGCCGGGCGTGGTGCTGACCACCCACCCCGTCGCGTGTCATGCCCGGCCTTCATAGGCGCTTGAAACAGAACTTTGTTGGACGTGACTGTGAGTGTGTGTGTACACAGTGTGTACGCGTGACTGTGAGTGCATGTACACAGTGTGTACGCGCGACTGTGCGTGTCAGTGCGTGCACACAGTGTGTACGCGCGACTGCGTGCGTGTGAGTGCATGTGAGTGCGTGTACACAGTGTGTACGCGCGACTGCGTGCGTGTGAGTGCGTGTGAGTGCGTGTACACAGTGTGTACGCGCGACTGCGTGCGTGTGAGTGTGTGTACACAGTCTGTACGTGCGACTGCGTGTGTGAGTGCGTGTACAGAGTGTGTACGTGCGACTGCGTGTGTGAGTGCGTGTACACAGTGTGTACGCGCGACTGCGTGCGTGTGAGTGCGTGCGAGTGCGTGTGAGTGCATGTACACAGTGTGTACGTGCGACTGCGTGTGTGAGTGCGTGTACACAGTGTGTACACAGTGTGTGCGTGCGACTGCGTGCGTGTGAGTGCGTGCGTGTGAGTGCGTGTACACAGTGTGTACACAGTGTGTACGTGCGACTTCCTGCGTGAGTGCGTGTACACAGTGTGTACGCGCGACTGCGTGCGTGTGAGTGTGTGTACACAGTCTGTACGTGCGACTGCGTGTGTGAGTGCGTGTACAGAGTGTGTACGTGCGACTGCGTGTGTGAGTGCGTGTACACAGTGTGTACGCGCGACTGCGTGCGTGTGAGTGCGTGTGAGTGCGTGTGAGTGCGTGTACACAGTGTGTACGTGCGACTGCGTGTGTGAGTGCGTGTACACAGTGTGTACACAGTGTGTGCGTGCGACTGCGTGCGTGCGACTGCGTGCGTGAGTGCGTGTACACAGTGTGTACACAGTGTGTACACAGTGTGTGCGTGCGACTGCGTGCGTGCGCGTACGTAGATGAGGTGGTCGCGGTAGCGGATGAGGAGGTTGCGCAGGATGCCGGCCTCGTTGAGATCTCCCAGGCGGATCATGTCCTCCACGCCGTGCACCGAAGTGGGGTGCATGGGGCGCACCAGGCGCGCGTTCTGCGGGGAGATCCAGTGCTCCTGCGGCGCACACGTCACAACACCAACATGCAGCGTCACAACACTCACACGTGCACGTCACAACACGCACGTCACAACACGCACGTCACAACACCAACATGCAGCGTCACAACACGCACGTCACAACAGTCACACGTGCACGTCACAACACCAACATGCAGCGTCACAACACGCACGTCACAACACTCACAAGTGCACGTCACAACACGCACAAGTGCACGTCACAACACTCACAAGTGCACGTCACAACACGCACAAGTGCACGTCACAACACGCACATCACAACGCGCACGTCACAACGCGCACGTCACAACACGCACGTCACAACACGCACGTCACAGCACGCGCACGTTACAACACTCACACGTGCTTGTCACAACACGCACGTCACAACACGTACGTCACAATGCGCATACACGCATGTCTCCCTGGCGGAGCTGTTTCCCTGGCGGAGCTATCTCCCTGGTGGAGCTGTCTCCCTGGCAGAGCTGTCTCTCTGGCGGAGCTGTCTTTGTAGTGGAGCTGTCTCCGTGGCGGAGCTGTCTTTGTAGTGGAGCTGTCTCCGTGGCGGAGCTGTCTTTGTAGTGGAGCTGTCTCCGTGGCGGAGCTGTCTTTGTAGTGGAGCTGTCTCCCTGGCGGAGCTGTCTTTGTAGTGGAGCTGTCTCCCTGGCGGAGCTGTTTCCCTGGCGGAGCTGTCTCCCTGGCGGAGCTGTCTCCCTGGCGGAGCTGTCTCCCTGGCGGAGCTGTCTTTGTAGTGGAGCTGTCTCCTTGGCGGAGCTGTATCAGCGGTGGAGCTACAGTGAGGGAAAAAAGTATTTGATCCCCTGCTGATTTTGTACGTTTGCCCACTGACAAAGAAATGATCAGTCTATAATTTGAATGGTAGGTTTATTTGAACAGTGAGAGAAAGAATAACAACAAAACAAATCCAGAAAAACGCATGTCAAAAATGTTATACATTGATTTTCATTTTAATGAGGGAAATAAGTATTTGACCCCCTCTCAATCAGAAAGATTTCTGGCTCCCAGGTGTCTTTTATACAGGTAACGAGCTGAGATTAGGAGCACACTCTTAAAGGGAGTGCTCCTAATCTCAGCTTGTTACCTGTATAAAAGACACCTGTCCACAGAAGCAATCAATCAGATTCCAAACTTTCCACCATGGCCAAGACCAAAAAGCTCTTAAAGGATGTCAGGGACAAGATTGTAGACCTACACAAGGCTGGAATGGGCTACAAGACCATTGCCAAGCAGCTTGGTGAGAAGGTGACAACAGTTGGTGCGATTATTCGCAAATGGAAGAAACACAAAAAAACTGTCAATCTCCCTCGGCCTCCATGCAAGATCTCACCTCGTGGAGTTGCAATTATCATGAGAACGGTGAGGAATCAGCCCAGAACTACACGGGAGGATCTTGGAAATTATCTCAAGGCAGCTGGGACCATAGTCACCAAGAAAACAATTGGTAACACACTACGCCGTGAAGGACTGAAATCCTGCAGCGCCTGCAAGGTCCCCCTGCTTAAGAAAGCACATATACATGCTCGTCTGAAGTTTGCCAATGAACATCTGAATGATTCAGAGGACAACTGGTGAAAGTGTTGTGGTCAGATGAGACCAAAATGGAGCTCTTTGGCATCAACTCAACTCGCCGTGTTTGGAGGAGGAATGCTGCCTATGACCCCAAGAACACCATCCCCCACCGTCAAACATGGAGGTGGAAACATTATGCTTTGGGGGTGTTTTTCTGCTACGGGGACAGGACAACTTCACCGTATCAAAGGGATGATGGACGGGGCCATGTACCGTCAAATCTTGGGTGAGAACCTCCTTCCCTCAGCCAGGGCATTGAAATTGGGTCGTGGATGGGTATTCCAGCATGACAATGACCCAAAACACACGGCCAATGCAACAAAGGAGAGGCTCAAGAAGAAGCACATTAAGGTCCTGGAGTGGCCTAGCCAGTCTCCAGTCCTTAATCCCATAGAAAATCTGTGGAGGGAGCCGAAGGTTCGAGTTGCCAAACGTCAGCCTCGAAACCTTAATGACTTGGAGAAGATCTGCAAAGAGGAGTGGGACAAAATCCCTCCTGAGATGTGTGCAAACCTGGTGGCCAACCACAAGACACGTCTGACCTCTGTGATTGCCAACAAGGGTTTTGCCACCAAGTACTAAGTCATGTTTTGCAGAGGGGTCAAATACTTATTTCCCTCGTTAAAATGCAAATCAATTTATAACATTTTTGACATCCGTTTTCTGGATTTTGTTGTTATTCTGTCTCTCACTGTTCAAATAAACCTACCATTCAAATTATAGACTGATCATTTCTTTCTCAGTGGGCAAACGTACAAAATCAGCAGGGGATCAAATACTTTTTTCCCTCACTGTATCAATCCCCATACAAGAGCGGAACCGTCTCCCTGGCGGAGCCGTCCCCCTGACGGAGCAGTCCCCCTGACGGAGCAGTCCCCCTGGCGGAGCAGTCCCCCTGGCGGTGCAGTCCCCCTGGCGGAGGCGTCTCTACTCACGTTGCCTTCGTCATCGTCCACCTGCACCTGCCCGGAGTCGGAGAGTTTGACGACGGCGCCGATGGGAACGTCGAACTCGCTGCCCGTCTTCAGGTCCAGCCACACGTAGTCTCCCTGTGCACACACAGACACACAGACACACACATACACACGTAGTCTCCCTGTGCACACACAGACACACAGACACACACATACACACAGACACACACATACACACACGTAGTCTCCCTGTGCAGACACAGATACACACGTAGTCTCCCTGTGCACACACAGACACACAGACACACACATACACACGTAGTCTCCCTGTGCACACACAGACACACACACACAGACACACACACAGACACACACACAGACACACACAGACACACGTAGTCTCCCTGTGCACACACAGACACACACACACACATAGACACACACACAGACACACGTAGTCTCCCTGTGCACACGCAGACACAAAGACACACACATACACACAGACACACACACACGTAGTCTCCCTTTGCACACGTAGACACACACACACACACAGACACACACACAGACACACACACAGACACACACAGACACACGTAGTCTCCCTGTGCACACACAGACACACACACACACATAGACACAGACACACACACGTAGTCTCCCTTTGCACACGTAGACACACACACACACAGACACACACACAGACACACACACAGACACACACAGACACACGTAGTCTCCCTGTGCACACGTAGACACACAGACACACACACAGACACACACACACAGACACACGTAGTCTCCCTGTGCACACACAGCCACACACACACATACACACACAGACACACACAGACACACACAGACACACAGACACACACAGACACACGTAGACTCCCTGTGCACACGCAGACACACAGACACACACACAGACACAGACACACACAGACACACACAGACACACGTAGTCTCCCTGTGCACACACAAACACACAGACACACACACAGACACACACACACAGACACACACAGACACACATAGACACAAACACAGACACACGTAGTCTCCCTGTGCACACGCAGACACACAGACACACATAGACACACAGACACACACACAGACACACACAGACACACGTAGTCTCCCTGTGCACACACAGACACACAGACACACATAGACACAAACACAGACACACGCAGTCTCCCTGTGCACACGCAGACACACAGACACACACATACACACGTAGTCTCCCTTTCCACACGTAGACACAGACACACACACAGACACACACAGACACACGTAGTCTCCCTTTCCACACGTAGACACACACACACAGACACACACAGACACACGTAGTCTCCCTGTGCACACACAGACACACAGACACACACATACACACACACACAGACACACATACACACACAGCCACACGTAGTCTCCCTGTGCACACACAGACACACACAACAACAACAACCGCCATTCGCCACTAAGTGGCGGTGACGTCACCACGACGCTTGTGCCAGGCTATGTGCACCCTGAGGCCACGTCAAGTGTCGAACACCCGCTGGCAGGAGGTCACGGGGCAGACCCAGGTACCACGGGTCGACTGACTGAGATGACTGGCTGATGCACCACCTGTGCCCCCTACTGTGCCAACCTGCTGTGCTTTAGCCACACGGCGCTCCGCTCGTTGTTCTGAGCGTCGCTCCTCCACCCTCCGTTGTTGTTGGAGGGCGACTTCCTCCAACTGCCCAGTAGCGTCCTTCACGAGCCTCCTCTACAGAGGCCGATCTTGACACCGCTGGTACCAGTCATCGGCAAGTCCACTCAGCTCCACGTCCTCCTGTACCACATCACTCCATCTCTTCTCTAGCCCGTGCCGCACCCATTTAGCCCCCTCGATCCGGCCAAACAAAAGCTGTTTCGGCATGCGGTGGCTGGGCATGCGGGCTACATGACCCAGCCATCGCAGCCTTGCCTGCCGGAGGAGCTCACCGATGATGGGACCCTGCCCAGATCTTTCAAGGATTTGTGAGCTCCTCACACAATCCAGTCTGGTTAAACCCAGGATGGATCGTAGGCAGGCCAGCCTAAATGTTTCTAACCGGCGAAGATGTTCCATTAGGGGGGTCCACGTTTCGCAAGCGTAGAGAAGGGAGGGAATGACCGTGGCCGAGAAGACCTGAAACTTAGTGCGGAGCGACAGACCAGGTAGCTTCCACACAGCGTTACGCAACCGATGAAAGATATTGCCGCTCGACTGATTCGGAGTGAGACCTCTGCTGTTAAACTGGAGCCAGTCATAAGCACACTGCCCAGGTATGGGAAACTCTCCACTCTCTCCACAACTGCCCCATCACCGATTGGGAGTTGTGGGGGTGGAGTGTCCGATGGTACAAAATACCCAGGCAGGTGCTTAGTTTTGGTGGGGCTGATGGCAAGGCCCCACCTCTTAGTGGCACGCTCCAGTCTTAGCAGCAGTGTCTCCAACTCCGTCCTCTGACTGAGCAGCTATTACCAAATCATCAGCATACATAACGTGGTTGAGCAATAGGGAGCCATCCCTTGACCGCACCCGGGCATCGATCAGTCTCCCATTATATCTGTACCATATGGAGATTCCCCCGGTACAGCTATTGAAGGCTTCACGAACTACGTGGTCAAGATAGATGTTAAATAATGTGGGAGCCAGAGGACATCCCTGTCGCACACCAAGGTGTACAGGGAATGGCTCTGACTCCCGGCCACATAGTTTTACCCGGGCCCGCTCACCATCATGAAGGTCCTTAATGATCGTGAGCAGAGGGTCAGGTACTCCAAAAGCACGAAGAACAACCCAGAGCCCAGGCCTACTGATGGTATCATAGGCCTTGACCAGGTCAATAAAGCAGAGATGTAGGTCTTGTTGGAATTCCCTACACCTCTGCTGTAGCAGACGGACAGAAAATATGGCATCTGTGCAGGACCGCCCTTTCCTGAAACCGCATTGGGGCTCCGCAAGCCTCTCCTCAGCGTGTCTGGCAAGGCGATGCTGAATAATCCTTGCCAGGACCTTTCCCGGCACACTGAGGAGTGAGATGCCCCTGTAGTTGTTACAGTCTGTGCGGTCCCCCTTCTTAAAAAGGGGGACCACCAGGGCATCCTTCCAATCCTGCGGAACCCGTCCAGTGGTCCAGACCATTGTTATGATGTCATATAGGGCAGTCTGTGCACAAACGCCACCCTCCCTCAACATTTCGCTTGGGAGATCATCTCTGCCCGCTGCCTTTCCTGGTCTCAGACTCCGGATCGCCTTCAATACTTCCTCAGCAGATGGCACCTCAGCCAGCCACTCACAGGGGGTGACTTCATCCAATATTTGAGGCACCGCAGCCTCAGCAGGGTCATCCTCACTTTGTGCCACGATGTTTTCCTGGCTGAGGGATTTTCCCTCCCCCAGGACCTCACAGAAATGCTCAGCAAATCTGCAAACCTGTTCCTGGGGGTCGGAGATTGGATCACCGTTTTTTCCCCTAATGATGGTAATAGGTGTGGCGCTGCAGGTTACTTTTTGGATGGAGTTAAATAGAGATTTGTGATCATGGGCCACTGAGGCAGACTCCATCTCCTCAGCAACCCGCGACCACCACCCATCCTTGCAGCGCCTCACGGCTCTCCGAACCTCCGAGCGAAGGCTGCGGTAAGCCTCCTCCTTCTCTGACGTGGGATTCTGTAGCCGATGACAGTGGGCCTCTTGCTTTTTCTCAACCATCCTAAACACCTCCTCTGTCAGCCAGGGTCTCTGGGGAGGTCTGGACCGCGTACCCAAAGCAGCCATTGCAGCTGCATGAGTCACAGTCCTAAACCTCGCCCATTTACCCTCGACATCGGGAGGAGTGGGGGACGATGCCAACCCCAGCCGCAAGCGATGATGAATTCTCGCTTGCAACTTTCACCAGATAACTGAGACCAGGGCACTTTATGTTGGAATGGGGTCCTGGGTGTACACCCACCGCCGGAGTGAAAGAATGGCAGGCACATCTTACAGAAGACTAGTCGATGGTCAGAGGGCAGATCAGCTCCACGGTAGGTCCTGGTGTCAAGGACATGGGCTCGCATCCGCTGGTCCGTCACTATGTAGTCCAGCAGATGTTCTTGCTTGGACCTGGCATGCATCCATGATGTTGTCTGGATGCGCCGATGCCGGAACAGCGTGTTGGTAATTACAAGCCCATGGGCTGCACACAAATCTAGCAGCCTCCTACCGTTGTTATTGAGCTGATCTGGCCCATACCCTCCAATCACTCCAGACCAGGTGCCAGCATCATGACCAACTCGGGCATTGAAGTCACCCAACAAGATGACTCTATCCCGAGGGGCCACTTTAGCCAGCACCTGTGACAGGAGGTCATAGAAGGCATCTGACTCATCGGCTTTGCCTGCATCCCTCCACGGATGTTCGTCTTCGGTGGGGGCATAAGTAACCACGACCAGCACTCCTCGCCTCCGGTTGATGGGAAGGCGAGCCCAAAGTAGCCTGGGCTTACAGCTTCCCACACCTCACCGCCACGCTCCCACGCCCTCTTCATTCTTTTGTTCTAAAGAAGAGCCACTCCCTGTTGTTTGGCAGTCTGCTGCCCCGAGAAGAGGACTGTCCACCCCTAATGGTGGCAGGAGCCAGAACCGGTCCACCGGACCTCCTGAATGCCACAGAGATCCAGGCGGTACCGGTCCAGCTCCCGACATGGCGTCTGTGACCCTCAAACACACACACATCCTCAAACACACACACACATCCTCAAACACACACACACATCCTCAAACACACACACACATCCTCAAACACACACACACACACTCACACACACACAGTCAAACACACACATACCCTCAAACACACACATACCCTCAAACACACACACACACTCACACACACACACAGTCAAACACACACATACCCTCAAACACACACATACCCTCAAACACACACATACCCTCAAACACACACATACCATAAAACACACACATACCCTAAAACACACACACACATACTCAAACACACACACAGACACACATACACCCACACACAGACACACACACACAGAGACACACAGACACACGTAGTCTCCCTGTGCACACGCAGACAAACAGACATACAC